GGTGGGGGGCACAGGCAGGGCCGTTCGGGAGGCAGGGCCGGTTTGGGGGCTCCCGGTGCTCACCGCCGTCCCCGCCGCTGTCGCTGTCGCCGTCGCTGTCAGTGTCGCCGTCGCCGTCGCCGGCGGCCCGGGCGGGCCGTACAGGCGGGGGTGGGCGGGTGGCGGATGCGGATGGAGAAGGCGGCCGAGTGACCGTCGGTGGAGAACTGCACTGCAGGGCAAGGGGGGCTGGGGGGGCACCGGGGGCACCCGGAGGGAGGCGACGAGGGGGCTGGGGGCACGGGAGGTCACCGGGGGCACAGGAGGGACTGGGGGGAGGCTGGGGGTGCACCGGGGGCGGGAGGGGTTGGGGGCATGGGGGTACCGAGGGGGCACAGGAGGGCTGGAGAGGGCTGGGGGTATGGGGGGAGGCACAGAGGGGCAGGAGGCACTGGGGATACCAGGGATGCCGGGGACTGGGGGTGCTGGGGATCCTGGGGGTGCTGGGGGTCCTGAGGGTGCTGGGGGTCCCGTGAGGGGAGTCACTGGGGGTGCTGGGGGATCAACAGGGGGCCACTGGGGGTTTGGGGTGCTGGGGGTCTGCAGGTTCAATGGGAGGGCACTGGTGGTCCCGGGGTCTTGGGGGTCAATTAGAGGCACTGGGGGTTTGGAGATGCTGGGGTCTGCAGGTTCAATGGGAGGGCATTGGTGGTCCCGGGGGTCTTGGGGGTCGATTGGAAGCGCTGGGGGTTTGGGGGTGCTGGGGGGGTCAATGGAAGGGGAGCAATTGGGGGTCCCAGGGCTGCTGGGGGGGTCAACAAGGGGGCACTGGTGGTCCTGGGGGTCTGGGGGGTCAGTGGGAGGCACTGGGGGTTTGGGGGTGCTGGGAGTCCCAGGGGGATGCCCTGACCCCCCGGGGGTGCCCCCCGAGCCCCCCCGTACCCACCGATGTCAGCGGTGTCGGGGTGGAACTGGGTGTTGGTGTAGGTGACGAACTGCAGCTGCCGGTTCAGGTGATCCAGGTGAGCGGCGGCCAAGGACAGGTGTGGCTGCCCCTCCCCCCGCAGGGCCACGCCCTCCACCTCGGCCGCCACCGCCAGGGTCCCCAGCGAGGCCGTCAGGTTCACCTGGGGGCGGTACGTCAGGGGGGGGTCGTGGGGGAGACAGGGCAGGGACCCCCCAACACCCGAGGGGGGAGGGACACGCCCCTCCCACTCATAGACCACACCCCCCGCACGCTCCTCCCATTATTGACCACACCCTCCCCGTGCCCCACCCACAGCTGGGCACAGCTGGACACAGCTGGACACAGCTGGACACAGCTGGGCACCCCTCACCTGCCCCCCACCCACTCCCCACCCCAGACCCACCCATCTTTGACCACGCCCTGCCCTGGCCCCGCCCCCCGCGTGGCCCCACCCTCACCTGGTACCTGTTCCTGGGGGCGCCTGCAGGCTCAGCCCTGGGGGACGTGGGGATGAGGGGGCAGGGGGCACAGAGACCCCCTGGAGGGACCCCCTGCCCGTCCCCCTCCCCCAAGGACACCCCTCACTGAGCCCCCCATCCCTGTGCCCCCCGTCATCCCCCTCGTGCCCCCCACCCCCGTGTCCCCCCACTCTGTGCTCCCCCTCGCCTCCCCCGTGTCCCCTGCGTGCTCCTCGTCCCACCCCCGTGTTCCTCGTCCCCCGTGTTCCTCAGGCCCCCCGTGTTTCCCGGTGCCCCCGGCCCCCCGCGCCCCTCACCGGGCACCAGCACCGTCTGCAGCGGCCGCACTCCACCCCCTGCGCCGGGTACTCCAGGGGAGTTGGCCGGGACGATGAGCAGGCGGTCGGCAGGGGTCTGCACCCTGCGGGGGTGGGCACGGGAGGGAGTCAGAGGGTCCCACCCTGCCCCATCGCATCCTGCGGTGGGGCACCCACCGCGTACCCGGCCCCGGGGGTCCCACCCAGTCCAGCGGGTCCCACCCAGCCCAGGGGTCCCACCCAGCCCCGAGGGATCCCATCCTGCCCCGAGGGTCCCATCCTGCCCCAGGGTCCCACCCAGCCCAGGGGTGCCCTGGGTGTCTCCCTGCCCTGGGGCTGTCCCTCCCTTCCCCGTGGCATTCCAGGGTGTCCCCCTCCCTCCCGAGCTGCGGCCCCCTCTGCCCCCCAGGTGTCCCCCCGCACCGGTTGCGGTAGCTCCGGTACTCCCGTTCCCGCAGCCGCAGCTGCCGCGGTCGCTCCCCGGGGGCGAAGGCGCTGGCGAAGTCGAGCCCCCCCGGGCCGGGCCCGAAGAGCCTCCGGCGCAGCGGCAGCGCCAGCCCCGCCTCGGCCTCCGCCTCGCACGAGCAGCCGTTCCTGGGCAGGAGCCTGTCGCGACAGGACCGCTCGCACCGGCACCGGCACCGGCGGCGACACCGGCGGCGACACTGGTGGCACATGGACCGGCCACCGGCACCGCCCCGACACCTCCTGCGCTGCCCCCGATGTCACTGTCCCCACCTGTCCCTGTCCCGACACCTCCTGGCACTGTCCCCACCGTCACTGTCCCCACTGACACCTCCTGTCACTGCCCCCACTGTCACTGTCCCCACCTGTCCCCACCGACACCTCCCACCACTGCCACGACCCCGCCCCGGCACCCCATTTCAGCCCCCTCCCCCAACCGCCACCTCGTCACCCCCTCCCCAGGTGCCCCACACTCCCCCCGCTGCGCCCCCACCCACGGGTACCCCCCACAGTCCCCATCAGTCCCACCCAGCCCCCTCCTTGGGATCCCCCAACCCCTGAGTGCCCTCCCCGCCCCAAGGATCCCCTTTCCAGGGGTGTCCCCCTCCTGGGTCCCCATTCCAGGGGTGTCCCCCCTCCCCCGGTGCCCCGGCCCCTCCTCACTCCATGACGTCGTCCTTGAGGCGGAAGGGCACGTGCGGGTAGGTGCGGGCGGGGGGGCAGGGGGCGGCAGCCGCTCGGGGTGGGGGGGCCGGCGCAGGTCCACGCTGGGGGGGCCCTTGGGCGCCCAGAGGTGCAGGAGCAGCGCGGCCAGCGAGGCCGAGACCACCAGCAGCAGGCACAGAGCCCGCTGTGCCCCCCGCATCCTGCCTGGGGGCGGGGGGGCACCGTCACCACGGGGCACCGCCCCCCAGCGCGAACCAGTGCAAACCAGTGCGAACCAGTGTGAACCAGTGCCCCCAGTGTGAACCAGCGCCCCCCAGTGCTCCCAGCGCAAACCAGCACCCTCCAGGGTCCACCAGTACCCCCAGTACAACACAAAACCTCCCAGCCCAAACCAGTGCCCCCAGTGCAAACCAGTGCCCCCAGGGTGAACCAGTGCCCCACAGTGTGAACCAGCATAACTCAGCATCTCCCAGTGCCCCCAGTCCAAACCAGCACTACCCAGCGCCCCCCAGTGCTCCCAGTGCAAACCAGTGCCCTCCAGGGTCCATCAGTACCCCCTGTACAACACAAAACCTCCCAGCCCAAACCAGTGTCCCCAGTGGCCCCCGTGCAAACCAGTACCCCCAGTACAAACCAGTGCCCCTAGTGCAAACCAGCATAACTCAGCATCTCCCAGTGTCCCCAGTGCAAACCAGCACTGCCCAGCACCCCCCAGTGCTCCCAGTGCAAACCAGCACAGCCCAGTTCCAAACCAGTGCCCCCAGTGCAAACCAGTGTCCCCCAGTGTAAATCAGTGCCCCCAGTACAAACCAGTGCCCCCAGTACAAACCAGTGCCCTCCAGGGTCCACCCGTGCCCCCAGTCCAACACAGCCCAAACCAGTGCCCCCAGCCCAAACCAGTGTCCCCAGTGCCCCTGGTGCCCCCCATGCCCCCCAGTGCCCCCAGAGCCTCCCAGTGCCACCCAGCTCCTCCCAGTGCCCCCAGAGCCTCCCAGTGCCACCCAGCACTGCGGTGCCACCCAGTACAAACCAGTGCCCCCAGTACAAACTGGTGCCCCCGGTGCTGTTCACCATCGCCCAGTCCTTCCAGTGCCTCCCAGTGCTTCCCAGTACTCACCTCCCAGTCTCCCAGTTCAACCCAGTGCCCATCCCAGTGGCTGTACCTCCTCCATCCCTCCCCCCAGCGCCCCCCCAGTGCTCCCAGCGCTTCCCAGTGCCACCCCAGCTTCCCCTCAGTGCCCCCCCAGTGCCCCCAGTGCTTCCAGTGCCTCCCCAGTGCTCCCAGTGCCCCCAGTGCTCCCAGTGCTCCCAGTTCCTCACCTCGGGGTGGGCGCGGGTCCCGGCGGGGGGCTCAGCCCACGCTCATGGCTCCGCCCCCGCGGCACCACCCTGGGGACATGGGGACAGCGTGGGGGCTGGGACCCTCACACCCCATCGCGCCCTCCGAGGGACCCTGGTCCTTAGTGCCACTCCAACTCCCCGGGACCCCCGGCAGCCGTGGATTCCCGAACCCCCGGATCTCTGTGAGGGGGCTAAGGGGCAGGAGGGGCAAGGGTGGTCCTGGGGGTCTTTGGGGGGTCGATCCCTGTTGATGACGCCGGGGGCTGCAGGAGGAGGGGCCTGGGAGGGGTTTTGGGGAGAGCGGAGGGGTTGGGGAGAGGGAGGCCCAGGGGATGTGAGGGAGGGAAGAGGGGTGTCCAGGGAATTTGGGGTGGGGGAGCTGGGATTGGGGGCTGGGGGCTGGGGGTGCTGGGGAGTTGGGAGGGGGACTGGGATGGGGATGGGGATAGGGGATGGGGGTGGGATGGGGGCAGCAGGGACAGGGGATGGGGGGATGGGGGGATGGGGGGATGGGGGTCCGGCAGGTCTGGAGGGCCGGGTGGTCTCGGGGGCCGAGAACCCGGACTGGGGGTGCGGGGAGTGCGGGAGGTCTGGGGAGTAGAGAATTTGGGGAGGGGCAGGTGGGATGAAGGATGAGAGGGGATGTGCGGGGCGTTGCGGGGTCGGGGGATGGGGAGGAACTGGGATGGGGATGGGGGGGCTGGGGGCCCAGGGGGCGGCAGGGGCTGCGGCGAGCGGGTGGTCGCGGGGTGGGGAGGGTGATGCGGCTGCCGTGGGGTGCCGGGAGGTGCCGTCCCCGGCCGCGACATGTCGCGACAGGAGCGGGCCCGGCCCTACCTGGCTCCGACCGAGGGTCCGGGCGCTCCGCGGCACCGGCGGCACCGGCACCGGCACCGGAGCGGCCGCGACGGCGCCCCAAGAGGCTCCGGGGGAACCGCAGCTCCGCAGCCCCGGGGGCGGGGGGAGGGCTGCAGGGGGCGGGGGCGCAAAAGCGGGCAGGGGGCGATGCCGCCGCTGCCGGCGAGGCCTCGGGAGGGGCGGGGTCGCGCCCGCCGTGGGGATCGGCTCCTCCCGGGGAAGCGGCCACAGACCGAGCTTTGTGCCCACGCGTGGGGCGAACAACGGCCCCATTGAGGGCGGGGCGGGGGTCTGTCTGTGTACCGGGCTCTGCCTGTACCGGGGAGGCGGGGGCTCTGCCTGTACCCGGGGGCTCTGCCCGTTCTCTGCCTGTACCGGGGAGGCGGGGGGCTTTGCCTGTAACGGGGGGCTCTGCCCGTTCTCTGCCTGTACCGGGGGGATGGGGGCAGGAGCCGAGAGCTGGGGGGCTGCAGAGCTCTGGGAGGGGGCTGGGGGATTCGGGGGAGGGTGAGCTGAGTGGGCTCTGAAGGGGTTGAAGGGATGCTGGAGGGGTCCTGGGGGCGTTCAGGGACCCTGGGAGGCGCTGGGGAGAGATCTGGGGGTCTCGGGGACACCGGAGGCTCGGGAGAGACACCAGGGGCTGGAGGGGCAGAGGAGGGGCTGAGGGGGTTGAGTGGGTGGGTGAAAGGATAACGAGGGGTCCTTTGGGGGCTCGGGGGTCCTGCGGGGGCTCAGGGGTCTCCTGGGGGGGATGAGGAGTCCTCGGCAAGACTTTCGGGGTCCCCGAGGGTGTCGGGGTGCAGGGGGGACACCCGGGGCCGGTGGTGCAGGGGGTTCTCGGGGCGGACCCGCATTGAGGGTCCCACGCGCGACCCTCCCGGTGGTCTCAGCCCCCTCCCTCCCCCCAGGATCGGGTCCAGCCCCCCCTCCCGGTCCCGGGGACCACGTGACCCCCCGGGGGATGCTCGGTGCGCTCAGCCAATCAGCGCGCGGGGATCGCCTGCATCCCGCTCGGCCAATGGGAACGCGCCCGCCGTGATGTCACCGCGGAGTGGCCGCGTCATTGGCCGGCTCCGACCAATCCCCGCGCGCCGCGCGCCGCGCCCCTGCGGCCTCACCCTTCGTGACGTCATAGCACAGATCAAACCAATCAGAACGCGTCGAGCTGCTGACGGACAGGCCATCTGACCAATCGCGAGGCGGGACGTCCGGGGCGGGGCGGGGCGGGCGGTGAGGGCGGAAGCGGGAGGGGAGCGGGGCCAAGATGGCGGCGGGGCCGGGGCCCGCGGCCGGGGTCGCTCCTGGCGCTCCTGGCGCTGCTCGGGGCCTGGGCCGGGACCCCGCGCGGGGCCCGCGCCGCCCTCAACCTGCAGGAGCTCAGCGAGCTCAAGTACGGCCTGGAGATCCTGGCCGAGCCCGTGCTGGCCGGGCAGGTGCGCGCCGGGAACGGGGAGAGGGAGGGGGGCGATACCGGGACCGGGAGCATCGCCGCGGGTCCCTGCTGGGGGGTCGGGGGGAGTCCCATCTGGGAAGGGGCTCCGAGCTGGGATCGTCCCGGGGGGACTCCGGGCCGGGCTGGGGAGTGGGGGGTTAGGGGCACCGACCCTGGAAGGGGGTCCTGCCCTGGGGAGTCCTGGGGGTCCCCGAGGCCGGGGGGGACACGGAGAGGGGGTCGGGCAGGGGTCGGTGCCTCTGCCCTGAGGAGAACCACGGGCAGCGGGGCTGGGGATCCCGGGGGCACAGAGACACCCCCAGCTCAGGGTGTCCCGGCGGTGTCCCAGGGTTCTGAGGGGTCCCGGGGGCGTTTGGGGTCCCAGGGGTTCTGAGGGGTCCCAGGGGGCGTTTGGGGTCCCAGGGGTTCTGAGGGTCCCGGGGGCGTTTGGGGTCCCAGGGGTTCTGAGGTCCCCCGTGCTCTGACCCCCTGTGCCCCCCAGCGCCAGGCCGAGGACGTGGTGACCGTGGCCTCTCGCTTCAAGCAGCTGTACGAGTGTCGCCTCCCCCGCGGCCGTGGGACCCCCGGGCCCCCCGCGACCCCCGGCTCTACAACGGCTCGGGGGTGGCCGAGCTGCTGCGGCCCATGGGGGCAGCGCCCTGCCTCAGAAAGGTGGGGGGCACGAGGGGGGCACGGGGGGCACCCCAGCCCTGCCTCGGGAAGGTGGAGGGCACGGGGGCACCCCACCCTCTGACCCACCCGGGGGGGCACCCCTGTGTCTGGGGAGCAAGGGGAGGGGGCATGGGGGGCACCCCCACCCCCTGAGCCACCCCGGGGGGATTTGCTCTCTGGGGGGGCACATGGGGGGCACAGGGACACCCCCACCCCCTGAACTACCCGGGGGGGCTCTGCTGTCTGGGGGACCCTCACCCTCTGAGCACACCCAGGGAGGCACCCCTGTGTCTGAGGAGCAAGGGGGGCATGGGGGCACCACCCATCGACCTTCTCTGGGGGCTCTGCTATTGGGGGGGCACATGGGGGGCACAGGGACACCCCCACCCCCTTAACTACCCAGGAGGGGGCTCTGCTGTCTGGGGGGGCACACGGGGGGCACAGGGACACCCCACACCCTGAACTACCCAGGGGGCTCTCGCTGTCTGGGGGGCACTCCCAGCCCCCTGACTCCCCTGGAGGCTGTGCCACCCCCAGACCAAGGACTGGTGGACCTACGAGTTCTGCTACGGGCGCCACATCCAGCAGTACCACCTGGAAGGTGCCGGCATGGGGGGCTCAGGGGGGGCTCTGATGTCCCCCTGGGGCAGCTGGGGGGTCCTGGGGGCGGAACTGAGGAGTTTGGGGGGGTCTCAGAGGTCCCAGAAGGGGTGAGGGTCCTGGGGGTGTCTGCAGGGTCTGAGGGGTCCTGGGGTTTCACGGATGTTGAGGTCCCAGGGTGGGGAGGGCTATGAGGGGTCCTGGGGGGTCTCAGGGGTCTCTGAGGGGTCAGGGGGTCCTGGGGATGCTGAGGGATCCTGGGGGATCTGAGGGTCCTGGGGGTGTCTCAGGGGTCCTCAGGGTCTGAGGGTCTGAGGGGTCTGAGCCTGAGGATCTCAGGGGTCCTGGGGGGAGCTCAGATGTTCTGAGAGGGGCTGGGGGATCCGAGGGGGGGTGACTGAGGGGTTCTGTGGGGCTGGGAGGGCTCTGGGGGGGTCTGAGAGGTCCTGGTGGGAGGGTGAGGTGTCCATGAAGGGTCTGAGGGGTCCTGGGGGAGGGTGAGGTGTCCATGAAGGGTCTGAGGGGTCCTGGTGGGAGGGTGAGGTGTCCATGAAGGGTCTGAGGGGTCCTGGTGGGAGGGTGAGGTGTCCCCAAAGGTCTGAGGGGTCCTGGGGAGGGGGAGTGTCCCCAAAGGGTCTGAGGGGTCCTGGCAGGGGGGAAATGAGGTGTTCATAAAGGGTCTGAGGGGTCCTGGGGAGGGGGAGGTGTCCCCGAGGGTTCCCGGGGGGTCTGAGGGGCAGGGTGGCCCTGCAGCCCCCCCGATCTCCCCCTGTGGCCCCCCCAGAGTCGGAGATCCAGGGTGAGGTGCTCGTGCTGGGTTATTACCAATCCACCTTCGACTGGGACGACGAGACAGCCAAGGTGGGCGTTCCCCCCGCCCTGGGGGGGCACCAGAGGCACCCCGGGGGTCCCTGTGCCCACCCTGTGCCCGTGCCCACCCCCCCGTGCCCCTCCAGGCCTCCCAGCAGCACCAACTGCGGCGCTACCACAGCCAGAGCTACGGCAACGGCTCCCGCTGCGACATCACCGGGCAGGCCCGCCAGGCCGAGGTCAGGGTAAGGATTGGGGGCACTGGAGGGGCACAGGGGGGCACTGGGGGCATTATGGAGGCACTGGGGGCACTGGAAGCACTGGGAAACTGGGGGCACTGGGAGGGACTGGGTGTGATAGGGGGCACAAGGGACACTGGGGGACACAGGGGGCATTGTGGGGCACAGGGGACACTGTGGGGGCACAGGGAGGGCACAGGGGGCACAGGGGGGCACAGAGGGGGTCACCAACCTCCCCCCGCAGTTCCTGTGCGAGGAGGGGGCTGGGGATCACATGGCCTGGGTGGGGGCACTGGGGGGCACAGGGGGCATTGGGGAGGCACAGAGGGGGTCACCAAGCCCCCCCCCGGCAGTTCCTGTGCGAGGAGGGGGCCGGCGATTATGTGGCCTGGATGGGGACACTGGGGGCACGAGGGGGGCGTTGGGGCACTGAGGGGTCGCAAGCCCCGGCAGTTCCTGTGCGAGAGGGCCGGCGTTACGTGCGCGAGGTGGACGGGCCGCAGTCGAACCGTGCGTGCTGACGGTGCACACGACCAGGATCTGCCACCACCCCTTCCTGCAGCGCCCAGGGCTGGCCCACTGAGCCATCCGCTGCCAGCCCGCCTGCTGGCACCGCTGGTACGTCCAGTGCACGTGCGGGCTGCAGTCCTGAGTACCGCGGGGGATGGCGCTGTCACCTCCCTGGGGCGGGGCCGGCGCTGTCACCTCCCTGGGGCGGGGTCGGCATTGTCACCTCCCTGGGGCGGGGCTGGCGCTGTCACCTCCCTGGGGTGGGGATGGTGCTGTCACCTCCCTGGGGCAGGCACTGTCACCTCCCTGGGGTGGGGCCGGCATTGTCACCTCCCTGGGGTGGGGATGGCATTGTCACCTCCCTGGGGCGGGGCTGGCATTGTCACCTCCCTGGGGTGGGGATGGGACTGTCCCCTCCCTGGCCCTGTCCCCTCTGGCTCAGCACTGGAGCTGTCCCCCAGTGTGGGGCTGGCCCTGCTCCTGTCCCAGGGCTGGCCCTGTCCCCCTGTTCCTCTGGCTCATCCCTGTCCCCTCTTTCCCCTTTTGTCACTGTTCCTGTCTGTGCTGTCCCCCGGCTATCCCTGTTCCCTGTGTCCCTGTCCCCTGTGTCCCTGTGTCCCTGTCCCCTCTGTCCCCTGTGTCCCTGTCCCCTGTCCCCTGTGTCCCTGTCCCCTGTGTCCCTGTGTCCCCTGTGTCCCCTGTATCCCTGTCCCCTGTGTCCCCTGTGTCCCTGTCCCCTGTCCCCTGTGTCCCTGTCCCTGTCCCTATTGACCCTGTCCCCCTGTGTCTCTATTGCCCTAGTGTCCTGTCTGTCCTGTCCCTGTGTCCCTGTCCCTGTGTCCCTGTGTCCTATTGTCTGTGTCCCTGTCCCCTGTCCCCTGTGTCCCTGTCCCCTGTGTCCCTGTGTCCCCTGTGTCCCCTGTGTCCCTGTCCCTGTCCCCTGTGTCCCTGTCCGTCTGTCTACTGCTGTCCCTCTGTCCTGTGTCCCTGACCTGTCCCTGTGTCCCTCTCTCTCGTCCTGTGTCCCTGTGTCCCTTTCCCCTCTGTCCCCTGTGTCCCTGTGTCCCTGTCCCCTGTGTCCCCTGTGTCCCTGTCCCCTGTCCCTGTCCCTGTCCCCTGTCCCCTGTCCCCTGTGCCCTGTGTCCCTGTCCTGTGTCTCAGCCGACACCAAGCGGAAGGTTCAGGAGATCTCGGAGGAGCTGCGCTCGCTGGACACGCGGCTGTGGAGTGACAGGGACAGCGGGACCCCCCCCCAGCCCCCCCGGGGGGCCCACGGGGACGGTACGGACCCTGTCCCACCCCCTGGGGACAGTACAGACCCTGTCCCACCCCTTGGGGATGATACAGCCCCTGTCCTACCCCTTGGGGACAGTACAGACTTTGTTCCCACCCATGCCAGCTGTGTGTCCCCAAACCACCTGTGTGTCCCCCCAGTACCAGCTGTGTCCCCAAAACAGCTGTGTCCCCAAACCGTGTCCCCCCAGTGCCAGCTGTGTCCCCAGTGCCAGCTGTGTGTCCCCAGTGCCAGCTGTGTGTCCCCAAACCAGCTGTGTCCCCATGCCAGCTGTGTCCCCATGCCAGCTGTGTGTCCCCAGTGCCAGCTGTGTCCCCCCAATGCCAGCTGTGTCCCTATGCCAGCTGTGTCCCCAAACCAGCTGTGTCCTCCCAAACCACCTGTGTCCCCAGTGCCAGCTGTGTCCTCCCAAACCAGCTGTGTCCCCATGCCAGCTGTGTGTCCCCCATGCCAGCTGTGTGTCCCCCATGCCAGCTGTGTCCCCAAACCAGCTGTGTCCCTTCCAATGCCAGCTGTGTCCCCATGCCACCTGTGTGTCCCCCATGCCAGCTGTGTCCCCAAACGAGCTGTGTCCCTTCCAATGCCAGCTGTGTCCCCAAACCAACTGTCACCAAACCAGCTGTGTCCCCCCCCAGTGCCAGCTGTGTCCCCAGTGCCAGCTGTGTCCCTATGCCAGCTGTGTGTCCCCAAACCAGCTGTGTCCCCATGCCAGCTGTGTGTCCCCAAGCCAGCTGTGTGTCCCTAAGCCAGCTGTGTCCCCAAACCAGCCGTGTGTCCCCAAACCAGCCGTGTGTTCCCCAAACCAGCTGTGTCCCCAAACCAGCTGTGTCCCCATGCCAGCCGTGTGTCCAAACCAGCTGTTCCATGCTGCTGTGTACTCCGCCAGCTATGTCCCAATGCATGTCCCCCAATGCCAGCTGTGTCCCTTCCAATGCCAGCTGTGTCCCCATGCCAGCTGTGTGTCCCCCATGCCAGCTGTGTCCCCAAACCAGCTGTGTGTCCCCATGCCAGCTGTGTCCCCATGCCAGCTGTGTGTCCCCAAACCAGCTGTGTGTCCCCATGCCAGCTGTGTGTCCCCCATGCCAGCTGTGTGTCCCCATGCCAGCTGTGTCCCCAAACCAGCTGTGTCCCCAATGCCAGCTGTGTCCCCAAACCAGCTGTGTGTCCCCAAACCAGCTGTGTCCCCATGCCAGCTGTGTCCCCAAACCAGCTGTGTCCCCCCCTCAGCAGGGGACCAGGCAGAGCCAGCCCAGGATGTGGCACTTGGGGATGAGGAGGTGACAGTGGCTGGTGGGCAGCAGGACAGCGCTGGGGTGAGTCCTGGTGGCCCTGGGGACATTGGGGTGGCCCTGGGGACATTCTGGGGTGGGGGTGGGGGTGGATTTTGGGGTCCTGCTCCATCCCCCCTGCTCTCCCTGCAGGAGCCATCCCCGAGGGCAGGCGGTGGCCACGTGGCTGGTGAGTCCCGGGGTGTCCCCCTGTGGCCCCCCCCAATTGCCCCCCAGTGCCCCCCTGCCCCTCCCACCCCCATTCCGGGTCCCTCCCCGTAGATTCCCGGAGGAAAATCCACTTCAAGGTGATCCGGAGCCCCGGGGACCTCCTGCAGTTCATCGAGGAGCTCAAAGGAGACCACCAGGAAGGTGGGGACCCCCTCTGTGCCCCCCTGCACCCCTCCAGTGCCCCGGAGTCCCCTGACCCCTCCTGCCCCAGGCCAAGGGCAAGGCCCGTGAAGAGGAGGAGGAGGAGGCGGCAAAGGCTCCCCAGCCCCGGGGAGCCCCCAGCCCCGCCAGGCCCCCGGGCCGGGCCCCCGGGGTGGGGGAGGAGCAGGAGCAGCAGGAGCAGCGGGAGCAGCAGGAGGAGCAGGGGGAGGAGGAGGAGGAGGAGGAAGAGGTGGGGCCGCTGCTGGCGGGGCTGGAGCTGCTGCCGCGGGAGCAGGTGAAGAGGCTCAAGGAGGAGGTGAAGACTCAGATGGAGCAGGAGTTCGACAGCATCATCAGCGAGGTGCGGGCTGGGACCCCCCATCTGGGACCCCCACAGCGGGCTGGGAACCCCTGGTCGCTCTGGGGATCCCCCACACCGGGCTGGGATCCCCACCGTGCGTTGAGACCCTTTCCACGTGAGACCCCCACACCGGGCTGGGACCCCCCCACCTGTCAGCTCTGGGACCCCCAGCCAGGCTGAGCACCCTGTGACTGAGTTGGGATCCCCCCCGGGAGCTCTGGGGACCCCCAGGCCAGGCCGGGCCCCCCCCTTTGGACACCCCCCTGCCCCCCCTGCAGGTGGAGGAGGAGCTGGAGACCGAGGGGCTCAAGGGGGAGTTCGACCGGAGCCGCGTCAGCAGGACCCTCGCCAGCACCCTGAGCCACCTCATGGACCGCCTGGACCCGGGGACTCCCCGCGACCCCAGGCCCCCACGACCCCGGGCCGCTCCGGCCCCGGGGGCCCGCGGGGGAGGGCGAGGAGGAGGAGGAGGGAGTGAGGAAGGGCAGCCGACTCCCTTCGGCACCAGGAGCCCCCAGGAGCTGGAGGCCCCCAGAGGTCGCGCCCCAGCCCCAGGCCAGGAGCCCCCGGGACACGGGGCCCCCAGGGCGCGCGGGTGGAGAAAGGAGGTGCGGGAGCTGCTGGCCAAGGAGGGGCTGCGCGCCGAGGTAAGGGAGTCGGGGGGAGGAGGGTTGGGGGGGTTAGTGGGGAAGGGTTGGGGGCACCCTCGGCCCCCGGATCACCCCATGACCCCTCCCCCAGGGAAGATCGAGATCAAGATCGTGGCGGCGGCGGGGAGGAGGACGAGGCTCAGTGGCTCTCGGAGGAGGATTCGAGAGCCTGAAGGAGATTTTCCTCAGCATCCTGGTGAGGGGGCCAGGGGGCAACTGGGACACAGGAGGGGAACTGAGGGCTTTGGGGGAAATGGGGACACAGGTGGGAGACTGGGGGGAGGGGGCACTGAGGGCACTGTTTTGCCCCAAGTGCAAGGGAGGTCAGTGGGTGGGTTCAGGGGTCATTGTTTTGCCCCCTCAGGTGCAGGGGGGATTCAGGGGGGAACAGCAGTGACCCCCCAGGTACAGGGGGGGTTCAGGGGTCACTGGTGTGCCCCAGGTGCAGGGGGTCTATGGGTGGGTTCAGGGGTCAGTGGGGGCTTCAGGGGTCTGTGGGTGGGTTCAGGGTGTCACTGCTGTCCCCCAGGTGCAGGGGGTTCAGGGTGGGTTCAGGGGTCCCTGCTGTCCCCCAGGTGCAGGGGGGTTTCAGGGGGGGTTCAGGGGTGTTCAGGGGTCCCTGCTGCCCCCCCAGGTGCAGGGGGGTTTCAGGGGGGGTTCAGGGGGTGTTCAGGGGTCCCTGCTGTCCCCCCCAGGTGCAGGGGGGTTCAGGGGTCCCTGCTGCCCCAGGTGCAGGGGGTTTCAGGGGGTTCAGGGGGTTAGGGGTCCCTGCTGTCCCCAGGTGCAGGGGGTTCAGGGGGATTCAGGGGTCCCTGCTGTCCCCCCCAGGTGCAGGGGAGTTTCAGGGGGGGTTCAGGGGGGTTCAGGGGTCCCTGCTGTCCCCCCCAGGTGCAGGGGGGTTCAGGGGTCCCTGCTGTCCCCCCCAGGTGCAGGGCTCGGAGGAGGCGCAGCGGGAGCGGCGCCGGCAGCAGACTCTGGAGGACAATTATCGCTTCGTGTGGGGGGGCCACCAGGAGCCCCCCCCACCCAGTGACTCTGAGGACCCCGATTTCTGAGCCCCCACCTCTGACCGGCCCCCACCCCAAAAATCGGGGCTCTATCCCCGTCCTGGGGAGTTCCCAGAGGGCCCCCAACACACAGGGTCCCTGCCTTGTCTGGGGTGTGTGGGGGTCGCTGTGACCCCCTGGGGGCTCTGGACTGTTTGGGGGGCCATTGTGTCCTCCCAGGAGGCCCTGCCCTGCTGGGGGAGGGTCGCTGTGTCCCCCAGACTCTTTGGGAGTGATGAATCCAGACCCACGAGGGGCCCTGCCCTGTTGGGGGTCACTGTGTCCCCCGGGAGCCCCTGCCCTGTTGGGGGTCACTGTGTCCCCCAGGGCCCTGCCCTGTTGGGGGTCACTGTGTCCCCAGGGCTCTGCCCTGTTGAGAGGTCACTGTGTCCCCCTGCGCTGATACCGGGTGAATTTGTGACAGGGGGTGGCAGCCGGTGGCTGGGGGTGGGGACACGGGGGTGTCAGTGTCGTGATGCCACAGGGACAGGGGCAGTGCAGACAGGGGGACATGGGAGTGAAAGGGACACAGGGTGGCACCGGGGTGGCGTGGGAGGCAGCGACACAGGGATGGCAGAGGCAGTGGGGTGGCACCATGGTGGGGCTGGATCCACGACTCCTGCTCCTCCCAGGGCACGGGGATGAGGGGACACGGGGTGTCCGGGACACAGGGCGGCACCAGGGTGGCGTGGGAGGTGGGCACACAGGGGTTCCAGGGACTGCACCCATTGGGGTGTGGGGTCACAGCGCATCAGGGGCCATGCTGTGACACCGGGGGGATAGGGCGGGTGGGGACAGAGCGGCGGCAGGGACAGGAGGTGGCACCGCAGCGACACCGCAGTGACAATCTGGGACCACGGGGGGACACGGGGGCGGGGCCGCGGGGACACACCCACCGGGAGGACTCGTGGGTGGGCTTGCAGCGGCCGCGCGGGTTCTGCTCCCAGATGCTGTTGGCCGTGGCGTTGCCGATGGCCGTGAGCACCAGGGTGAGCTCGCGGGGCCAATCGTCCAGGTCCAGCGAGCGCACGCGCGACACGTGCGTGCCCAGGTTGCGGTGGATGCCCGAGCACTCGATGCAGATCAGGGCGCCCAGGTTCAGGCTGGCCCACGTGGGGTCTGGGGGCACAGGGAGGGGGGGGGGTGGCCCGTGGCACAGCCCGGGGTGGCCAGGTGGGCACTGCACGGCCCGTGGCACCCTCTGGCTTAGGGCAGCCCACGGTGCGGGGCAAGGGGGGACCCAGGCCTGGTGTGGCACGTGGTGACACACGGTGTGACCCAGGGCCTGATGTGACACGTGGTGTGATACCCGGTGTGACCCATGGTGTGATACCTGGTGTGACCCAGGGCCTGGTGTGACACGTGGTGTGGCACACAGTGTGACCCAGGGCCTGGTGTGACACGTGGTGACCCATGGTGGGCACCTGCTGTGAACCAGGGCCTGGTGTGGCAGCCGGTGTGACCCAGGCCTGATGTGGCACCCGGTGTGGCACCTGGTGTGACCCAGGGCCTGGTGTGACACGTGGTGTCACACGGTGTGGCACCCGCTGTGACCCCGGGCAGTGTCCCAAGAGGCATCGTGTGGCATGGGGTGACCCCTGACATCACGTGGCCCATGGCACTGAGTGGCCCACGGCACGGTGTCACCCGTGGCTCCATGTGGCCTGTGCCACCCGTGACATCCTGTGACACACAGTGCCACATGGCCCAGGACACCACGTGGCACCACGTGGCCCATGTCCCTCCCTTGCCCTGCCGGTCAGGTGGCCCACGGCTGGTGGCACGATGTCACCCCGTGGCACTGTGTGACACCGTGTGACACCATCCCCTTCCCCGGCACAGGACACCACAGGGCCCGTGTCCCCAGGTCACCTCTGGGCCCGTGTCCCCCTGTGTCCCCCCCGTGTCCCCCCACTCACTGGGTGCCCCGCAGTCCACGCAGAGCGAGTTCCCGCGGGCGTTACGGATGGCCTGGATGGCCACGGCCTCGCTCTGGGAGTCCATGCGTGCCTGAGGGGAGAACAGGGGGCTCAGGGGGCGGGAGGGCCACACGGGAGGTGACACTGCGTCCCCTCCCCGGCCCCCCCCGGGGGGTCCCACCTTGTTCTTGCTGCTCTCGCAGCACTGCAGGCTGGCCAGGATCTGGCTCTCGATCGCCTGCACCCACGCGTCGCGCTCCTCGAAGCTGCCGGCCTCGAAGTGCCACGTCTGCCCCGTGCTCGACACGATCAGGAACTCGAAGTTTTCCTCCTCTGCAGGACCAGAGACCCCCGGCGTGGAGGACGGTGGGATGGGGGTCTCTCACCCTGGGGCACCGGGCTGCCCCAGTGCCCCCGCTCCGCGCCCCCAGATTCTGCCCGACGCCCCCTCCCGGAGGTGCCCACCCCGACCCGCTCCCGGGGACCCCCGTGTGGGCGCGGGGGATGCGCTGGCGGCAGGCAAAGGTCGGGGGAGGGCACAGCCACATGCGGGGGAGGCACCGCGGGCGCCACGTTACCTGTTTTATAAATATTTCTTAAACTACCAAAGCTTTTTAATTTCCACATTTTGCGCTTGGCTGCGGAGGGTCCGGGCAGCGGCAGCGGAGAGAGGAAAGGGGGACACAGTCAGGGGGGCCCCGGGGGCGGTGCGGGGGGGGTGGCAGGCGGTGGCGCAGCGAGGGGGGCGCGTGGGCAGCGTGGCCGAGCGTGGCACGGTGGGTGGGGGGCAGGATCGGCCCCGGATCCTCCCCCCGGGGTGTCCTCGCTGGGGTGGACGTGGGTGCCGTGGGTGAGCCGGGGCCGGGGACACGAGCCCGTGGCACTCACCCTCCGCCTGCCCCGCCGAGCCCTCGGTCTTGGACGGCGTCATCAGCTTCTTCCGCCGGTGCTTCTTCCTGTCGACCAGGGGGGACGGGGGGGGGTCCCTGCCCGCGCTGCCCGGGCTGGACATGGCCTCGAAGGGGGTGTCTGCAGGGGGACCACACGAGGGGGGCTGCGGGACCCGCGGGCACCGGGGACGCCGAGCTCAGTGGGCACTGCGGGCACCACGGGCACCGGGGACAAGGGAGCTCCCTGGGGACACTGCGGCCACCAGAGGGACACTGGGACCAGCAGGGACACCGAGGCCACCAGGGCCACCAAGACCATCAGGGTCACTGAGGTCACCAGGCTCACGAGGACAAGGGGACACCAGGAACTCAGGGGCCACCAGGGCCACCGGGGCCACCAGGGACACCGGGACCACCAGGGCCACCAAAGGCCACCAGGTCCCTGGGCTCACCAAACCCACCAGGGTCATCACGGCCACCAGGGCCACCAGAGGGCCAAACCCACAGGCATCGGCCACCGCCAAGGTCCCAGGCCGGTCCCGGCTCAGCAGGACCACCTGGCTCTCTGTGGCCTCTGGAACCACCATGACCACCAAGAGGTCCTCGAGCTCCTCAGGAGGCCCTGCGCTCGATGAGGCTACCACAGGCTGGTCCCTGGTCGGTCCCTGACCGGTCCCTGGTCAGTCCCTGGCCATGCCCCGGGAGGTGGTCGTGTCCCCAGGCGTGCTGGTGGCAGTGCCAGCGCCAGTGGCACTCACCTGCGGCGATGAGCTTGGCGCTGGAGGCCGAGGCGCAGCGCTGCAGCGACCGCTCGCCCTTGCCCACCACCTTCAGCCCCGGCTCGGGGGGTAGGCTCAGCCCCACGGAGGGGACACCGCCTGTGGGGGGGACAGACAGTGACAGACGGTCCCCCCGGTGTCTCCCCCGCCCCGGGGTCCCCCCAGCACTCACCCCCCGGCTCGGGGTCCCCCCAGCACTCACCCCCCGGCTCGGGGTCCCGCACCAGCCCGTTGATGCTGGCGGAGGGGCCGCAGGCGGAGATGGCCCTGGGCGGGCGCTTGCCGGGCACCTTGACCGTGGTGCGGAGCAGATCCATCTCCTTGCCGTGCGTGCTGTGGATGTAGTCCTGGGGGGCACCGGGGGGGTCACACGGGCCCCCCACGGTCCAGGGGGCTGTGTGGGGCCGGGGACACTCACGTTGATGCTGGGGTGGTAGAAGAGGAGCCCGTTGCTGGACAGGGTCACGTACTTCTTCTTCCACTCCTTGTTCAGGGAGTTGCCGCTGCGCTTGAGCAGGAAGCTCTGGGGACAGGGGGCGGTTGAAGGGACACGGGGGACGCTGGGACCCCACCCGTGTCCCCTGCCAGGGCCACCACCCACCTGTTTGATGGGGATGGCGCGGCCGCTGCCAGTGACCTCGCCACGGCTGTCCAGGCTGCGCTTCTCTGAGTCGCTGCCACGGCGAGTCTGCTGGGACAGGGATGGGGACAGGGATGGGGACAGGATGGGGACAGGGATGGGGACAGGGCCGGGGACATGTGGCATGGATGGGGACACTGCAGTGCCCTCGAGTCCCCCAGTGCTGGAGTCCCAGTTTGCCACAGAGCCCATGGCTGGGTGCTCGCGTGTCCCCCAGTGCCACCACCCTCAGTAGGTGCCACATGTCCCTTGCTGCCACTCCCCTGCCAGTGGGCACTGTGGATGTCACGTGTCCCCCCCCGTGTCACCCCTGCCAAGGGGACACTGTGGATGCTGCCCTCCCAGTGCCACCACCCCTCCAGGGCACTGCTCTGTGTCCCCCCGTGCCTCCCCGTGCCCCCCCGTGCCCCCCCATGCCAGGCCCCGCGGTCACTCACGGCGAAGAGGCTGGTGCGGCGCTTGGCCCCGCGGTGCAGCGAGCTGGGGGTGCCCAGGGCGGCGGGGGTCTCGCTGCGCAGCTCCCGGTGGCTCACGTTGGGCGTGGAGGGCAGGGAGGAGGAGTAGTCGCTGGTGTGGCCGCCGTTGCTGGCCTGGGGGGAGCAGGGGGTCAGCCCTGGGCCATGGTTGGGGGGGTCAGGGTGGGGGGCCGGGGGGTACCTGGCTGGGGTGGACCCCCCCCACGGGCGTGGAGGCGGCCGAGTGGCTCGAGGAGCTGGGCAGGGACTTGCAGGAGGCCACGAGCTGCTGCTGCTTCTTCAGCGCCACGGCCTTCTGGGCCACTGTGAGGGACCCCAGTCAGGGGGGCTGAGACCCCCACCTGCCCCTGACACGGCCCTGACGCACCTGGGCACCGTCCCCACCCCACCCCACACCTGGACAGGGTCCCCATCTCACCACACGTGGTCCTGAGCCCTCCGACCACCGCTGTCCCCAACACAGCTGTGACCCTGCACTGGCCACCATCCCTGTCCCACCAGGTCACCAGCCCCTCCCCCCACCCCATTCCACCCTGGCCACTGTCCCCATCCCACCTGGACATGGTCCCCAAACCATCTCATTCCTGTGTCCCCATCCCGCCTGAACATGGTCCCCAAACCATCTCATCCCTGTGTACCCATCCTGCCTGGACATGGTCCCCAAACCTTCTGGCAACTCTCACAGCCCCTCCCACCACCCACACCCCACCGTGGCCACCTTCCCATCTGGTCATGGTCACTGTCCCACCTGGGCACGGTCATCATCCCACCTGGACACAGTCACTGTCCCACCTGGGCACGGTCACCGTCCCACCTGGCTGCTGTCCCCACCCCATGCTGGTCACTGTCCCTGTCACACCACTTCCCCCACCCTCTCCCAGCCTCCCCCAGTCCCCCCAGACCCCGTGCCGGGCACCCACCCTCGGTGAAGACGCGGTCCACGTTGAGCCCGTACGTGGCGCAGGTCTCGTAGTAGAGGCAGCGCCGCGAGTCCCCGCAGAGCGCCCGCGCCCGCGCGTCCTCCACCGCCCGCGGGCTGGACGAGCTGATCTTGTCTGGGGGGGCAGCGGCTCAGACAGGGGTCCCCCGTCCATGCTGCCCCCTCCCCAAGGGCTGCCCCGGCCCCCCCGCTCACCCTGCGTGCCCACCAGCGCCAGGGCCACGTCGCCGGCGCCGCGGAGGCCGCCGAGCAGCTCGTGCAGCTGCGAAACCTCCTCGAAGCTGCTCTCACTCTCCAGGCTGAAGACGAGGATCACGCCGTCCACCCAGTTGGCAAACTGGGGGGGCCACGGGGGGGTCAGGCCTGGGCTCTGGCCAGAGAGCCCCCCACCCAGCCCCCCAGCCCCCCCGTACCTGCGCGTCCGGTGCTCCGGCCTCCTCCCGGATGAGCAGGAGGTGGCTCTGGCCATCAACCGTCACCTCGCGCTTGAACTGCCCGCCTGTGGTGAGGAGGGGCCCCTGCGGGTGTGCTCGGCCCCCGTGGTCAGCACTGCCACCCCAAATGTCCCCAAGCTCTGAGCAGCACCGGGACCTTGTCCATCCCATGGCCACACCCATCCCCTTCCCTATCTCCACCCATGGCCACACCATCTGTCCATCCCCATATCCATGTCCATCCCATGGCCATGTCCATCCCCTTCCCCATCTCCACCCATAGCCACGCCATCTGTCCATCTCCATATCCATGCCCATCCCATGGCCATGGTCATGTCCATCCCATGGCCATGTCCATCCCCTTCCCTATCTCCACCCATGGCCACGCCATCTGTCCATCCCCATATCCATGTCCATCCCATGGCCACACCCACCCCCTACCCCATCTCCACCCATGGTCATGCCATCTGTCCATCCCCATATCCATGTCCATCCCATGGCCATGGCCGTGTCCATCCCCTTCGCCATCTCCACCCACGGCCATGCCCAACACCACAATCCTGTCCATCCCCAGAGCCTTGACCATCCCATTACCATATCCATGTCCATCCCATGGCCATGTCCATCCCCTTCCCCATCCCCACCCATGGCCACGCCATCTGTCCATCCCCATATCCATGTCCATACCATGGCCATGGCCATGTCCATTCCCTACCCCATCTCCATTCATAGCCATGTCCAACACCACAACCCTTTCCATCCCCAGAGCCTTGACCATCCCATGACCATATCCATGTCCATTCCATGACCACACCCATCCCCTTCCCCATCTCCGCCCACAGCCATGCCCAACACCACAATCCTGTGCATCTCCAGAGCTTTGACCATCCCGTGACCTTGGCCATCCCATACCCAGCCCCATATCCATGTCCATCCCATACCCACGTCCATCCCCTTCTCTGTCTCCATCCATGGCCATGCCCAGCATTGTGACTTTGTCCATCCCCATAGCTTTGGTCACCCCATGACCACATCCATCCCATGACCATGTCCATGCCATGACCACATCCATGCCATGCCCAGCCCCACACCCATCCCACAACCATGTCCATCCCATGGCCATGCCCAGTCCTTGTCCATCCCACGTCCAGCCCCGAGGACACCTCCGTCCCCATCCCCATCCCCATCCCCATCCCCATCCCCATCCCCATCCCCATCCCCATGCCCATCCCTGTGACCATTCCACGGTCAAGCCCATCCCCACAGCCATGTCCATCCCATGGCCATCCCTGTGGCTACATCCATTCCATGCCCAAGTCCACCTCAAGTCCATCCCAAGTCCATCCCATGCGTATCCCATGTCCATCCCAAGTCCATCCCACAACCACCCCATGGCCACCCCGTGGCCACTCACTCTCAGTGGGCTCCAGGCCCACGTAGGAGCCGGTGAGGAAGCGGTGGACGAGCGCTGACTTCCCACTCTTGCTGCTGCCCAGGACCCCCTGGGGGAGAGAAGGGTCAGGGCAGCCAAGGGGGGGGGACACAGGACAGGGACAGGGGGACACTGGGACACAGGAACACAGGGTAGGGACATGGGGACATGGGACAGGGACAGGGGGACACAGGAACACAGGGCAGGGACACAGGGACACAGGGAAGGGACAGAGGGACACAGGACAGGGACACAGGGACACAGGGACAGGGGGACACAGGGACACAGGGACACAGGGACACAGGACAGGGACACAGGGACAGGGGGACACAGGGACACAGGGCAGGGACAGGGGACACAGGACAGGGACAGGGGGACACGGCAGGGACACAGGGACACAGGGCAGGGACACAGGACAGGGACAGGGGGACATGGGACAGGGACAGAGGGACACAGGGCAGGGGCAGGGGGACACAGGGACACAGGGCAGGGGCAGGGACACAGGACAGGGACAAGGGGACATGGGACAGGGACAGAGGGACACAGGGCAGGGACAGGGGGACACAGGGCAGGGACAAGGGGACGTGGCACCCACCAGGCGGATCTCGGGGATGGAGCGGCCCAGGGTCCACTCCTGGCTGTTCACCAGGGCCTCTGCAGGGGGGAGAGGGGTGAGACAGAGCCCAGGACCCCCAGACACCCCCCTCAGGCACCCCCCCAGGCACCCCAGGCACCCCAGGCACCCCCAGCACCCCAATCGGGGGGGAGCCCCCCCCGTGCAGCTCCACGGCAGCTCCTGCGTGGGTGTCACCAGCTGTCACCCGGCAACGGCACCGGGACGGGGGCGGCGCGAGGACGCGGGGACGCCACGTGGCGGGGACAGGGACGGGGACAGGGACGGGGACAGGGACTGGGTGGCACGAGGTCTATTGTGCCGGGGCATGAGGACACGGCGGGCACAGGGGCAGGGGTGGTGGGGGAGCACGGCGTGGCATGGGGACACCGTGGGGACGAGCGGGACACAGCGGGCACCGGGAGGCAGCAGGACGTGGCATGGGGACACGGTGGGACACAGAGTGGCACCAGGAGGACACGGTGGGACACAGAGTGGCACCAGGAGGACATGGTGGATTCCAGGACACGGTGGTCACAGGGACACAGAGTGGTACTGCTACGTGGTGTGGCACGGGGACAACCAGGTCGGGCCACGAGTGGCACCAGGACACGGTGCAGGGTGAGCACACAGCACGAGGACACAGCGGGCACCAGGATGGGGTGTGACACAGGGACACGGTGGTGACAGACCATGGCGGAACCGTCAGGCCACGAGTGGCACCAGGACACGGTGTAGAGTGAGGACACGGCACGAGGACACGGCGGGCACCAGGACACGGCCTGGCATGAGGACAGGGTGTGACATGAGGATGGGGTGTGACACCAGGACACGGCCTGGCATGAGGACAGGGTGTGACACCAGGACACGGCTGTCACCAGGACACAGCCTGGCATGAGGACAGGGTGTGACACGAGCACACGATGATTCCGGCACACGACGGGCGGGAGTTGGGGACGCCCGCAGTGCACGACGTGTCGGGCACAAGGACACATTGGCACCAGGACGGGGTGTGGCCCAGGACAGGGTGTGGCCCAGGACAGGGTGTGGTACACGAGGACACGCCCTGACACGAGGACACAGCATGACACGTGATGGGCATGAGGGGGTGACAGCCACGAGGACGTGGCCCAAGGACACACTATGGGCACAAGGACATGCCCTGAGCTCCCTCCACCCCCTGCTCGGCACCCCCAGCCCCCCAGGACACCCCAACAGGGGACACTGAGGCAGGGCACGGTCAGGGGGTCTCCCCACCCCTGGTGCCTCAGTTCTCCCCATCCCCACTCGGAACCACCCCCGCCACGCGCAGCAGCCACGGGGGTGACGCTGCCACCTGTCCCCCTCCGCTGTCACCCCTGTCACCCGGCCACCCCGGGCCCCCGGCGCTGCACACACCCCACGGCACCAGGGCGGGCGGAGGGAACAGAGAGACGCCGAGGGGGGGACACAGGGACAAGAGGGGGCCGTGGGGTGACCGTGGGGGACAGGACACGGGTGTGATGCACGGATGGAGGCGATGGACGGATGGACGGACGGACGGACAGATGGCGGGACAGAAGGATGATGGGGGGTTGCCCCCCTGATCTCCAGAAGCCCCCCCAACGGCGACACTGAGGCACGGGACCCCCCACCACGGCACGACCCCTCAAATCAACACCCGGGACCCCCCGTTGTGGGGGGGCCCCTGCCGGGGGTCACAGCTCCCCATGGCCCAGCACTTGCCCCCTCCCCAGCCCTGGGACACTGACGGGTCCTCCTGCCCACACGGGAGCCCCCAACCCCCCCCCAGGACACCGAGTCACGGGCACGGTGGGTACGGGCACCACCCCCCCGCCCACAGGGCACCCACAGGCACACCGAGACACGGCCGGGGCGACCCCGGGCCCCCTCAGGCCCACCGGCCCGTACTCACTGGGGGCGGCCCTGGCCGGGTCGGCGCAGGGAGGGGCCCAGGGGGCGCGGGATGGGTGGGGGTCGCCGCGGGGCTCTTGGCGAAGATCCCGCTGATGAACTTGAGCATCTTTCGGTCGCGGGTGGAGGCGCGACCCCCCTCGCGGCCCCGCTTCAAGCCCGTCTCAGGAGGGCGCAGGGCTCAGAGCCCCCGGCCCGGGCTGGAGGTCGCTGTAGTCCAGGGTCTTGCTCTTTCCCTTGTGGGGGGACAGCCGGGCCCGGGGGGGCCCCTCGGCCTTGGCCGCCGCCTTGGGGCGCCCCTTGCCCTCGCCCTCGGGCCACGAGAGGCGGCTGCCGGCGGGTTTGGGGGTCTTGCTCCCCCGGGGGTCGGGGGTCCCGCGGGCCCCCCCGGTGCTCACCGCTTTGGGGGGTTTGGGACCGGCCAGGCGGAGGCGGCGGGCCCCGGCCGAGGGGTGCGGGGAGGACGCGGGGGGCACCGGGGGGCTCTGTCCCCTCCGGGGGACCCTCAGGGCCCCCAGCTGGCCTGGCCCAGCAGCGGGCGGCGGGGGTCGAGGCGGGCTGGGGGCGTCAGGGGGTCCGACCCGCTCCCCTGCCCCTCAAGGTGCCCTTGGCCCCCGGGGTCGGGTTTGAGGGCCATGGCCGGGGAGGGGGCAGCAGCGCCGGGTCCGGTTTGGGGGCACGGCCGGGGGCGGCAGGGGCAGCAGCGCCAGGTCGGGTTTGGGGGCACCGCCGAGGGGCGGCGGGGGCAGCAGGGCCGGGTCGGGTTTGGGGGCAGCGCCGGGGCGGCGGCAGCAGCGCCGGGTCGGGTTTGGGGGCACGGCGGGGGCGAGGCGGGCGAGCGGGGCCGGGGGCGTCGGGGCCGGGGGCGCGGGGGCCGGGACCGGCCGTACTTATCCGGAGCGCGTCCTGCCGCTGGAAGAGCCGCTCGGGCCGCCGGGCTCGGCCGGGCTCGAGGGTGCGGGGGCGGCTGCCGCCCCCACGGCACCGGGGCTCCTCCATCGCCGCCCCCGCGACCGCCGCCGCCGCCGCCTCCGCCTCCCCCGCGGCGCCCACCGACTCGAGCTTGACCAGCGTGAGCGAGATGAGGTAGGTGGTCCTGCGCTGGAGGCCGGTGGTCCTGCTCATGGGTGCGGGCAGGGCCCCCGGGCGCCCCGGCCCCCCTCGCTCCCGCGCGGCGCCGCGCTGCCGGTGCCGGTGATGCTCCGGTCCCACCCCGGCCCTGCCTCCCGAAGCCTTCGCCGCTCGCCCGCCCCGGAGGGTTGGAACCGCCGCCGCACCCCCGAAATCCAACCGCCCCCACCCTCTCCCGGATCGGGGCCGCCCCCCGCCTCGCCCCCACCCCGGGTTAGCGGCCAGGGGGCATCGCTGAGGACCCCAGACCCCGGCGCTCGGAGGTGTCGGGGGTTGCGAGGGTGGGTGAGGGGTTTGGGGGCCGGGGGCCGATAGGAGGGTGTCGGGGGGGTTGGGGGCTACGGGGCTATGGTGGGGTCCACGGGGTGGGGAGAGGGGCTGGTTATGGGGGGAGGTTGGGGGTGAGGGAGGACGTGGGGAGTGACGGAACGAGGGGGGACACGGGTGTTGTGGGTCTGGGTGGGGGTCGCGGGAGTTGAGGGGTCCTTAGAGCTGAGGGGCTACGGGGAAAGGGACGGAGGGGTGGGGAGTGATGGGGGGAGAGGAGGAGAAGGGGTTATGGGGCGGGGGGCCATGCCCGGGCCCCGGGGCGGGGCTCACGGCAGCGCCCGGACGGGCTGCTCCTTGGCGGCGGGGGCGCGGGGGGCCCGGGGCCCGGCAGGGGGCCCAGCGCGGCCGGGGGCCGGGGCCGCCGCTCTCCGCCATGCGCCGCTCCCGGGGCCGGACCGGGGCGGGGGCGGGCGGCGGCCCCGCCGCTACCGGGCAGGCGCGAGCGCTCCCAGAGCCCCCCACGACCCCTCCCCCGGCCCCGGCACCTGCCGGGCTGCTGAGACCCCCGGCTCCCCGGCCCTCCAACCCTCCCCCGCTGCTCCCGCACCCCCAAAATCCCTCCCTTCCCTCCCCGGGGTCGGAAGGGGTTGGGGGAGGAAGGGGCGTGAGAGGGCAGTTCAGGGGGCCGTGGGGGGTCGAGAGGCTCTTCCACCCGATTTCCGGCATTTTTAGCAGCGGCGCAGCATCCCCTGCGCATCCCGTTACCACGGCAACGGCGGCCACGGAGATGGTACCGGCCGTGGAGCCCCCGTGTCACCCCCGTGCTCCCTCCCCAGTTTCAGCCCCCGTGTCACCCCCGTGGGACCCTCTGACGCGGTATCCCCCCCACGTGTGTCCCCCACGCCGACGTGATTTCCTCCCCCCCAGCCACGCGTGTCACAGCCCCGCGGGGGACACGGCTCGTGGGGACCCCCCAGCCCTCTGCAACCCCGGCTGGCACCCAGCGGGCACGGGGCGGGGGTCCCGGCCCTGTGGAGCCGCGTGTCCCCCACGCGTGGGGTCCCCCGGGACTTGGCACCGCTCCGGGTTCGTGACAGCGCCGGGAGCGTCGTCCCAGCAACGCGCCCACGACCCCCGCGGGGAGAAGGAGCCCCCCCGCCCCCCCGTGTCCCTGCTGTCACCCCAGCGCTGGGACCCGGGGGACGTCCCCGACCCGCGTGGGGAGTCTGGCTGGTGCTGCCTCTCCCAGTGCCCCCACTCCCTCCCAGGACACTCCCCCGCCATCCCTTAAGTGCCCCACGCTGCGTGGGGGACATGGGGTCACGCCGGGTCCGACCTCCCCCCCAAAAACATCCAGCCCTGCCCCCAACCCCGCTGTCCCCACTAGGTGAGATTGGGGCGTCCCAGGGGGCACAGCGGGGCAGCACCCCGGGGGCGGGTTGAGGGTCCCACGCACCCCCAGCGCTCCGTGGGTACCACAGCGGGCTCTTGGCAACGCGGCATCCCCGGCTTCCCGTCGCCATGGCAACCGCGCGGGAGATGCCAGCGCGGGGGAGGGGCACAAGGATGCAGGGGCTCGGGAATGAGGGGGGCCTAGCACTGGAACCCCTCCCCAAGTGACGTCATCGGACACCCCCAGCGGGGTCAGGGGGGGTTGGGGTGGGTGGAATCCCCCAAACTCCGGGGGCAAGGGAGGCCTCCCCATCTTCCCCTAACAACCCCCTCTGCATCATCCCCCAGCAGGTTCCCCCTCCCAAAACCCCTCCCCACCCCAACAGCCCCTTCCAGCACCCACAGCGGGCCCCCACTCCAGTAGGGCCCCCTCCCCGCCCCCACTCCCGGCAGAGCCCCCGGCAGGAGGGGGAGGAAGTGGCCCCACTTCCCCGCGCTGGGGCCAGAAGCCAACCATGGGCCCCAGCGCGGAAATGGGGGGGCCCTGACCCCCCAACCCCCCCGGCGGGGCCCTGTGGCCCCCCATGGGTCCCGTTTTGGGGGGGGGTCGGTGCTGTTGAGCCCTCCCCTAGTACCGGGCAGGATCAGGCCCTGGGAGGGCCATGGACTGGGGGGCCCTGTGGAAGGAGGGGGAGGGGACTCCCCGAGCCAGAATGGGACCCCCAGGGTGGTTGGAGGGGGTCAGGGACCCCCCGGGCTGGGACAGGACCCCCAGGGTGGTTGGAGGGGGTCAGGGACCCCCCTGGGCTGGGACAGGACCCCCATGGGGGCTGGGGCACCAGCAGGGCCAGTGCTGGGGACACGGGAGGGGCTGAAGGGGGGACAATGTTTGTCCGTCCATCCATCCATCCATCCATCCATCCATCCATCCATCCATCCATCCATCCATCTGTCCGTCCCTCCATCCCTCCACCCCCCTGTCTGTCTGTCCATCCCTCCCGCCAGCCCCCTGTGCATCTCTCCATCCATCCATCCACGTGTCCACCTGTCCATCTGTCCATCTCCAGTCCCACTCATCCATCCTCCATCCATCCCTCCATCCCCCTGTCTGTCTGTCCATCCCCCTGTCTGTCTGTCCACCCACGCCTCCAGCAGCCCCGTGTCCACCTGTCCACCCATCCCCCCTTCCCTCTCCTCTCTGTCCACCTGTCCGTTCGTCCTCCCTTTCCCCCCCTTCCCCCTGCCCGTCCCTCCCTGTGTCACCCCCCCATCCCTCCCCTCCCTCCCCGCACCCGCGGGACTCCCATCGCTGTGTCCGTCCCTCTGTCCCTCCCTGTGTCCCTCCCTGTGTCCCTCCCTGTGTCCATCCCTGTGTCCATCCCTGTGTCCATCCCCGTCTGTCCGTCCCCCCCTGTCCACCCCGTGCCCGCCGTGCCCCCCGTACCTCGGAGCCCCCTGAGGGCGCTGCCCAGGCTGCCCCTGAGCCGCGGGTCGGGCACGGTCTCCACGAGCCGCACCAGGCGGTTCAGGTGGCCCTTGGCCCCCTCGTGCCGGGCCACCTCGGCCCGGATGGCCGCCAGGACCTCGCGCCGCTCCCGGGGGGCCCCCATGGCACCCCCGGCCCCGCCAGGGACCCCCTGCTCGGCCCCCCGGCCCCTCCTCCCCGCCGCTTCCTGCGGGGCCGCGGGGACGGGGACACGTCACGGGCCTGGGAACGGCGGCGCCCGGCCCCGTGGGCGCGTCGGGACACGCCGGGACACGCCTGGGACACGCCAGGGACACGCCTGGGACACGCCTGGGCCCATCGGGCCGCAGGGCACGGCCCGGCACGCCCCGACACGCCGGGCCCGGCCCCCACGCCACGGACACGCGGGACACGGGGGTGGGGACACAGTGGGGGCACACACACGGCTGGGTGCTAGGGGACACGGCAAGGACACACGTGTGCCGGGGACACGTCGGGGGGGCACCCACGGGCGTCTCATGCAGACACACTGGGGACACACGTGGGGACAGGGACATGGCAGTGACGGGCTGAGGATGCGTGTGGGCACAGGGACACGCTATGGACACGCGTGCAGTGACACAGGCACGCCAGGGACACGTGTGCAGGAACGTGGACATGCCAATGACATGTGTGCAATGACATGTGCAGTGATACAGACACACCAATGACATGTGTGCAGTGACACAGACGTGCTGGGGACATGTGTGAAGTGACACACGGACATACCAATGACACGTGTGCAGTGACACAGACACACTAAGGACACGTGTGCAGTGACACACGGACATGCCAACAACACGTGTGCAGTGACACAGACAGGCTGGGGACATGTGTGAAGTGACACACGGACATATCAATGACATGTGTGCAGTGACACAGACACGCCACTGACACGTGTGCAGTGACACAGACATGCTAAGGACACATGTGCAGTGACACAGACAGGCTGGGGACATGTGTGAAGTGACACACGGACATATCAATGACATGTGTGCAGTGACACAGACACGCCACTGACACGTGTGCAGGGACACAGACATGCTAAGGACACATGTGCAGTGACACAGGCTGGGGATATGTGTGAAGTGACACATGTGCAGTGACACCCGGACACACTAAGGACACGTGTGCAGTGACACAGACACACTAAGGACACACATACAGTGACACATGGACACACTAAGGACACGTGTGTAGTGACACAGACACACCAATGACACGTGTGCAGTGACAGACATGCTAAGGACATGTGTGCAGTCACATGGGTACACTAAGGACATGTGTGCAGTGACACATGGACATGCCAATGACACGTGTGTAGTGACACAGACACACCAATGACATGTGTGCAGTGACAGACACGCTGGGGACACGTGTGCAGTGACACAGACACACCAATGACACATGTGCAGTGACACATGGACACACCAATGACACGTGTGCAGTGACACAGACACACTAAGGACACGTGTGCAGTGACACATGGACATGCTAAGGACACATGTGCAGTGACACAGACACGCTGGGGACACGTGTGCAATGACACAGACACACCAATGACACATGTGCAGTGACACATGGACACACCAATGACACGTGTGCAGTGACACAGACACGCCAATGACACGTATGCAGTGACACACGGACATGCCAACAACACGTGTGCAGTGACACAGACACGCTAAGGACATGCATGCAGTGACACAGACACACCAATGACACGTGTGCAGTGACACAGACACGCTAAGGACACGCGTGTCCCCTCACACACACAGAGCCCCCCCCATGTCCCCACATCCCCCAACCCCCCCCAGGTGTCCCCGTGGGACCCCAGGAAGAGCCGAGGACCCTCAGGGACATTCCCGTGGCTCCCCAGCCTGGACCCCCACCCTGAGTGCCCCGGGGGTCCCCACCACAGGGGGTCCCCATGGGGTCCCACCCCAGAGTGACCCCCTGCATCCCCAGGCAGAGACAGAGGGGGTCATTGGGGAGTTTATTGGGGGTTCATGGGGGGGCCATGGGGATGTTTGGGGGGCTCAGGGGGAGAGGGGGTGTTTGGGGGGCTCAGGGAGTGTTTTGGGGGCTCAGGAGCCTGGTTTAGGGGGTTCAGGGGGTCTTTTGGGTGGTTCAGGGGGTGTTTGAGGGGTCAGGGGGTCGGGGATGTTTTGGAGGGCTCAGGGGCTGGTTTGGGGACTCAGGGGACTGTTTTGAGGGGCTATGGGGATCAGGGGTGTTTTGGGGGCTCAAGGGGTCAGGGGTGTTTTGGGGGCTCAGGGGATGTTTTGGGGGATCGGGGGGTGTTTTGGGAGCTGTTAGGGGGGCTCAGGGGGCTGTTTGGGAGGTCTCAGGGGGTCAGGGGTTGTTTTAGGGATCTCAGGGGGTGTTTTGGGGGCTGTTTGGGGGGGCTCTGGGGATCAGGGGATGTTTTGGGGGTTTCAGGGGCTCAGGGGCTGTTTCGGGGGTCTCAGGGGGTCAGGGGGTAGGCAGAGGCCACGAGTCTCTTCTTGTCCCACGAGTAGGTTTGGATCGTGGCCTCCTCACCTCCCAGGCTGACGTGGCACCTGCGGGCACATTGGGGGGGTGGTCCCGGCTCTGCCACCCTCGGGGGGGCTCTGGGACCCCGGGGGTGCCGGCGTGTCCCGAGGAGGGTTCTCCCCCTCCTGTGCCCCCACTCACGGGCGGTCGGGCCGGGTCAGGAAGCAGAGGGTGAACAGGGCCAGGTCGAACTCGGGGCTGGAGCCCACCAGGAGCGACCCCCGCGCCTTGGGGTGCCCGTCCCAGCGGAACCGCAGCGACAGCACGTCCGGGAAGCCCGTCCACTGCGGGGGGCACGGGGGGCACAGACACGGGGGACACGCGGGGAACACAGGGGTGCGGTCACGGGGGCAGGGACACGCAGGACCCCTGGGACGGGGACAGAGGGACACTGGGGGGGACACGGGGGGTCCTGGGGCAGGGAGGTGGCAGGAGGGGTGAGGGTGACACGGGGGGTTCATTCTCAGGGACATTGGGGGGTGGGCACAGTGACAGGGACCCTGAGGGTGATCCCAGGGGACTGAGACCCCGGCTGGGGACACCGAGGGGTGTGGGGGAGGGACCCCGGGAGTTGTTGCAGAGGGTCCCCTGCGTGTGTCTCCATCCCTCACTCGGGGCTTCCCCCTGTATCCCCATCCCCCCCATGTCCCATCATCTCCATGACCCTGTGTCCCCCCCAGGGTCTCTGTGTCCCCCTGTGTCCCCCCATGTCCCCGTGTCCCCCATCCCCGTGTCCCCCTGTCCCCCCTGTTCCCCGTGTCCCCCTGTGTCCCCACTCACGGGTCCATCCCAGGTGTACCCCAGGTATTCCATCCTCCCTGCTCTCTCCAGCGCCTGCAGCTGCACCCAGTTGTGACACCCGGACACCGCCCCCTTCTTCAGCTCCCCTGGGGACAGGGACAGGGGGGTGACCGCAGTGACCTCACCCTGGACACCCCCCCACGACATCCCAGCCCACGGTGAGGTCCCCAACCATGCCCTGCCTTCATCCCCACAGTGTCCCCTCTGTCCCCACACTGTCTCCCTGTCCCCACAGTGTCCCTCTCTCCCCACAGTGTCCCCTCTGTCCCCACAGTGTCCCCCTGTCCCCACAGTAACTGTTCCAATGTCCCCACCCTTGCTGTTCCCCCCAGCCTCAAAATGACACCCCCCATCTCCAGTGTCCCCCCTGTCCCCTCCCGTGTCCCCTCTGTCCCCTCCCTGTGCTAAAAGCAGAGTAGTCCAGCACCACCCCTCCCCACCCCGCTGTCTCCTCATCTCCCTGTCCCCCACCGTGTCCCTCCTGTCCCTCCCCTGTCCCCCCGTCCCCCGTGTCCCCTCACCATGGAACACGTGCTCGAAGCCCGAGGAATCCAGAACTTTCCCTCCCGATCGGGAGTAGAGCCCGAACCACATGGAGTGAAGGTCGGCCCGGAAGGACTCGGCGGAGGGGTACAGACCTGGGGACACAGAGGGGACATCACAGGGACAGCGTGGGGACAGGGGTACAGGCCTGGGGACACAGAGGGGACATCACAGGGACAGCGTGGGGACAGGGGTACAGGCCTGGGGACACAGAGGGGACATCACAGGGACAGCGTGGGGACAGGGGTACAGGCCTGGGGACAGTGCAGGGACAGGGGTACAGGCTTGGGGACAGCCAGGGGACATCATGGGGACAGCCCTGGGAAGGGGTGGGACATGGGGACAGGGGGTTTAGCCCTGGGGACAGTGCAGGGGGACAGGGGGGACACTGTGGGGACGCCGTGGGGACACTGTGGGGACAGGGAAACACCCCTGGGGATGGGGAGGACACGTGGGGACACTGTGGGGACAGGGGGGGATACCACGGGAACACCGTGGGGACATCATGGGGACGTGGGGTGCAGCCCTGGGGACACCGTGAGGACACCAAAGGGTACCCCGTGGGGACACTGTGGGGACATCGTGGGGACACTGTGGGGACATCGTGGGGACAGGAGGGACACCGTGGGGACCCTTAGGGACACCGTGGGGACTCCGTGGTATGGGGGGACACCGAGGGATGGGAAAAGACACTGTGAGGACCCCGTGGGGACACCCTGGGGACACCCTGGGGACACCGAGGGATGGGAGGAGACGCTGCAGGGATGGTGGGGTGGGGACACCGTGAGGGCACAGCGGGGACACTCTGGGGACACTCTGGGGACACTCTGGGCACGGGGGGACACTCTGGGGACACAGTGGGGACACTCTGGGCACGGGGGGACACTCTGGGGACACAGAGGGGACATTCTGGGCACGGAGGGCCCCGCTGTCCCCACCCTTGCTGAGCACGAAGCTCTCGAGCAGCGCCAGGACGGGCGTGGCGAGCGCTGCCTGCAGGAACTGCCGCTCCTCGAGCTGCTCCTGCTCCGTCACCTCCTCCGCCAGCCCCGTCCGAGCCTCGTAATTGTCCAGCAGCGCCAGCAGCAGCGAGAACGTGGGGCGGGACAGCAGGGCCGGGGACACGTAGGAAAACAGCCTGGAGTTGGGGTCAAGGGATGTGGGATCAGGAGGGAGGGATGGGGGGATGGGATGGAGACAGGAGGGTTTGGGATGGAGTGGTGGGATGGGATGGGATGGGATGAGGTTGTGGGATGGAATGGAAACAAGAGGGTTGAAGATTTGGGGTCAAGGGATGTGGGATCAGGAGAGAGGGATGAGAAGATGGAGACGTGGGATGGAAATGTGGGACTGGGATGGGATGGAGGGACAGGGATGGAGACAAGTAGGATCAAAGGATGGGATGGAGAGAGGAGGGTTTGGGATGGAGGTGTGGGATGGGATGGGATGGGATGGAAACCAGTGGGATGGAGTTGTGGGGTCAAGGGGTGTGAGATCAGGAGGAAGGGATGGAGGAATGTGGGTTTGGGATGTGGGAATGAGGATGGAGACACAGGGGATTGGGATGGGATGGAGGGATGGGATGGGGACAGGAGGGTTTGGGATGGAGGGATGGGATGAGAATAGGAAGGTTTGGGATGGAGGGTTTGGGATGGGATGTAGGGATGGGATGTAGGGGTGGGATGGGATGGGATGGGATGGGATGGGATGGGATGGAGGGGTGGGATGTAGGGGTGGGATGGACTGCAGAGCAGGGCAGGTAGACGGGTGGGGCTGGAGGGTGGGGGCACTCACGGCAGACGGGAAGCCCCCTCCCCCTCACCTCTGGCTCCCGGGTCGCCCTCGGGGCTCTGCAGGTTCAGCTCGAGCTGCCCCGGCCCCGCCCGGTTCGAATCGGCCTCGAGGAGCTGCTCGGAGAGATCGCGGAGCTCCCGGTCCGACACGGCCGACAGGGGGTCGGGACCCCCCCGGGGCTCCGGGTCCGACAGGGCCGAGAGGGGATCGGAACTCCCCCCCGGGGCTCAGGACCCTCGGCTCAGGACCCTCCGGGCCTGGTCTGACACCCCGACAGGGGTCGGGACCCAGGGCTCCGGGTCCGACACCCCGAAAGGGGATCGGGACCCCAGGGCTCAGGACCCCAGGGCTCAGGATCTCCCTGGGCTCCTGGTCGGACACCCCCGAGAGGGGCTCGGGACCCCCCAGAGGGGCAGGCAGGACCCCCCCGAGGGTCACCAGCAGCACCAGGAGCAGCCACGTCGCCATTTCGGGCCCCCACTGACCTGACCCCCTTATAAAATCGCCGCTATCGCCGCGATAACGCCCCGAGGTCGCGATGTGGGAGGGGAGGACCCCAGGCTGGTTTGGAGGTCGCTACCTCCCTACCCCCAATAACCTCGGCCCTGCCCCCTGGGTGATTTGGGGCTGCCCCTCCCCCCTCGCAGGATTTGACCCCCTGCGAGTCAGAAACCCCCAAATCCGCCCCCCCGCCCCCGGGCTGGTTAATGGTTAGGGACCAAATGTGGCCCCTCAAGGACTTCCCAGGGAGGGGAGGGAGGGCAGAGCCCCCTAAATCACCGCGGGGGCACTGGGGGTTTGGGGTGCGGAGGGGAAGGGGGGACCCTGGCGGGGTTTGGGGAGCTGGGGACACACGGGGGGCCGTGTGGATCTTGGGGGAGAAGGGGTGCCCGGGGTTCGTGGGTGGAGATGTAGGGGGTCACGGGGCAGCAGGGGGATCCCAGGGGCTCTGGGTCTGGGGAGGTTCTGGGGTCTGTGGGGTGGGGGGAGTTCTACAGGGATCCTGGGGGGCTCTGGGGAGACCTGCTGGGACTGGGGAGTTTGGGGGCTGGGGGTTCCTGGGGGTCATGGGGACCAGGACTCTGGGGGTCTTGGGACTGCCTGGACTGGGGGGCTGGGGTGACTGGAGATTGGGGCGTCCCTGGGGGTTACAGGCATTTCTGGGGGCTAGGGGGTCCCTGAGGTTCAGGCATTTCTGGGGAGTCGGGGGTCCCTGGAGGGTTCCAGGCATTTCTGGGGGCTGGGGAGGTCCCTGGGGGGTTCCAGGCATTTCTGGGGGCTCAGGGTGTCCCAGGGGAGCTGGAACTGCTGGGTCAGTGGAGACTGGGGGGCTGGAGGGGTTCGGGGGTGTGGGGATGGGTTGGAGGACCCTGGGGGCTGTAGGGAGCTGAGAGGGTGTTTTTAGGACTCGGGAGCTGTGGGGACCCGGGGGAGCTGTGGGGATCCGAGGGGGCTGTGGGGACCGGAGGGGGCTGGGGGACCCAGGGGGCTGTGGGGACACAGGGGGCTGTGGGGACCGGAGGGGGCTGTGGGGACCCGGGGTGGGGCTGTGGGGACCCGGGGTGGGCTGGGGACCCAGGGGGCTGGGGACCTGAGGGGGCTGTGGGACCTGAGGAGGGCTGTGGGGACACGGGGGCTAGACACGGGGGCTGTGGGGACACGGGGGGGGTGTCTTTAAGGACCCGGGGGGCGGGGCTTTATTGCCCGGGAAGCCCCGCCCTAATCCGGGCAGACCCCGCCTCTCACGGCCTCAAGGAGCAATCTGCGCATGCGCCTCATATGCGGGGTGGGGCTAATCCCATATATGGATTGTATGGGCGTGGCTATGTCCATACACGGTTAGATGGGCGGGGTCATCTCAAAATACGTCAAAAAGGGCGTGGCTATGCCCGTATACAGACCGGTGGGCGTGGTCTCGCCCCCCGCGCACGCGCAGTGCGGGCGAGCGCGGGACCGCACCTTAAAGGGACCCCGGGACCCCCAAAAACCCCCGGACTCCCGAACCCCTGGGAGTCCCCCTGGGACCCCCAACCCCCGCCATGGTGTGCGGGGGCTTCGCCTGCTCGCGCAACGCGCTCTGCGCCCTCAACGTGGTTTACGTGGTGAGCGGGGGTCCCGGGGGAGGGGGCAATTGGGAACCCCGGGAGGGGAGGGGCTCCCTCCTCCTCAGGGGGACGGGGAGGGGCTCTCCGGGGTGGGGAGGGGCTGCGGGGTCGCACAGGAAGGGGGCGGTGGAGGGAGCTGGAAGAGGGGGACGCCCTCCAATTTGGGGGACTGCTGGGGTCCCCGGACCTGGGGGCTCCTGGGCCCCGGTGTGGGGGTTGGGGAGGGGCTGCGGGGTCGCCTTTAGGAAGGGAAGGTTGGGGGAATCGGGGTCCTGGGGAGGGGGCACCCCAAAATCACAAGGGTGGGTCAAAGGTCAAACCCACGCGGCCGAGGACACGGGGGGCGGTGACACCGCGTGACCCTTTGGGAGCCCCCTTCCCCCAGTAATCCCAGTGCTCCCAGTCCCACCCCAGTGACCCCTTCCCAGCCCTTTGGGGCCTGGGAGTCTCCCAGAGCCCCCTGATCCCCAGCCCGTGCCCCCCAGCTGGTGGGGGTGCTGCTGGTGGGGTGGCGGGGTGGGCGCGGGGCTGGGGGCTCGGCCCATCCCCCCTGCTCGGCGGAGCCTTCGCCGTCGGGACCTTCCTGCTCCTCCTGGCGGGGCTGGGGCTGCTCAGGGCGCTGCGGCACCACCAGGTCCTGCTCTTCTTGTATCCTTTTTGGGGGCTGGGGGATGCGACCCCACGGGGCTCCTGAACCACACCGGGGTCACTGAAACACCGTCAATAACCCCAACCCCCCGGAGCTCCTGACACCCCTCCGGGGTCACTGACACCTCCCAGTGTTCCCCAAACCCCTCACTGTCCTCCCAAACCCCCCGGGTCGTCGACACCCTCAGTGTCCCCAAACCCCCCGGGGTCCCCACCCCTCCTGAGCTCATTGAGACCCCCTGTGTCTCCAACCCCCCAAAGGGTCCTGAAACCTCCCTAAGCCCCTCCCTCCACCCCCCGTGTCCTCCTCTGGCTTTTTGGGGGTCCCCACCCACTGTGTCCCCAACCCCCCAAGGCTGTCACACCCTCCCTGGACTCCCAACCCCCCACCCCGGGTGGTCCTGAGGGGGAGATTGAGGGGCTGGGGGCCCTTGGGGAATTTGGGGTGTCCTGGATGATTTGGGGTGTCCTGGGGGCTAGGGTGTCCCGGTGATTTGGGGTGTCCGTGGGATGATTTGGGGTGTCCTGGGTGGCTCAGGGTGTCCTGGGGTTAGGGTGTCCCGGGTGATTTGGGGTGTCCTGGGATGATTTGGGGTGTCCTGGGGTTGAGGTGTCCCGGGTGATTTGGGGTGTCCTGGATGATTTGGGGTGTCCTGGGGTTGGTGTCCCGGGTGATTTGGGGTGTCCTGGGGATTTGGGTTGTCCTGGCGGGGTTGGGATGTCCTGGGGATTTGGGGTGTCCTGGGGATTTGGGTGTCCCGGGGTGCTCTGGGGTGTCCTGGGCTGGGTTGTCCCGGGTGATTTGGGATGTCCCGGGTGATTTGGGGTGTCTCTGAGGGGGTTTGGGATGTCCTGGGGGTTAGTGTTCCGGGGGTTTGGGGGTCTCTGTGTCGGGGCCCCCTTGACCCCCCAGTACGTGCTGATCCTGGGGCTGCTGTTCCTGTGCCAGCTCGGCCTGTCCTGCGCCTGCCTCGCCCTGGCCCGGCACGATCAGGTGGGGACCCTCTCGGGACCCCCAGGACCACCCTGGGACCCCTGACCTCCTGGGACCCCTGACCTCCCAGAACCCCTGAGATCCCCAGGAACCACCCTGGGACCCCCCTGACCCTCGGGGTCCCTGTAGGGGTCCCTGATGAATTTCGGGGTCCATGGGAGGGGCCCTGTTTAATTTCAGGGTCCCTTTGGGGGGTCTCCGATTAATTTTGGTGTCATGGGGGGGGGTCCCTGTTTAATTTTGGGGTCCCTGGGACGGGTCCCTGTTTAATTTTGGGGTCATGGTGGGTCCCTGATGAATTTTGGGATCCATATGGGGTCCCTGATTAATTTTTAGGTCCCTGGGGGGGAGTCCCCAATTAATTCTGGGGTTATGGGGGGTTCCCTGTTTAATTTTGGGGTCCATGAAGGGGGTCCCTGATAATTTGGGGTCCCTGGGGGGGGTCCCTGTTTAATTTTGGGGTCATGGGGGGGTCCCTGTTTAATTTGGGTCCCTTTGGAGGGGGTCCCTGTTTAATTTTGGATTGTCCCCCCCCCAGGAGCGGCTCCTGCTCTCGGCCTGGCCCCTGCTGAGCGGGGGGGCCCGGGGGGAGCTGCAGGGCAGGTTGGGCTGTTGTGGCCTGGGGCCCTCGGACCTCCCCTGCCAGCGCCCCCCGCTGAGCCCCCTGGGCTGGAACCTCGGGACCCCCAAAACTGCCCTGCTGTGAGTTGGGGAGGGGGTGTCATGGGGTTTTTGGGGATCCCTGGGGGTATCGAGGGGGTTTGGGGGCAATTGGGGGCAGGTGGGTTTGAGGGGCTGATGGGGTTTGGGACCCTGGGGTAACTGGGGGTCAGGGTCTTTTTGGGGTTTGGAGGGGTGGGGGTGGGGGCCTGGGGTGTCTGGGGGCTTGGGAGGACCTTGCAGGGGCGGGGGAGGGGTGGAGCTTTGGGGCCCCTGAGGTTTTGGGACAATGTGGGACGTTTGGGGACCCACGGGGGGCAGGGGAGGGGCTGGGGACCCCGGGTGGGGGCACGGGGAGGGGGCATCTGGGACTCCCCTCCTGCTCCCCCAGAGGTGCCGATCCCCTGGGGTCCCCTCGTGCTCCCCTGCGCCCCTGATCCTGCAGCACTCGAGCCAAGCCCTCCGGATCCTGGGGGCCGGGCTGTTCTTCAGCTTCACCGAGGTACGGGGGGTTCCAGGGGGTCCGGGGGTCCTGCAGGGTCCTCACCCTCCTCCCCTCATCTCTTGCAGGTTTTGGGGTGTGGCTCGCGCTGCGCTCTGAACCAGAGAGACCCCCGGCCAACCCCTGAGCCTTCCTGTAGGGGAGGGGGCACAGAGATCGGGGGTGGTAAAGACTCCCTGGGGGCACAGGAACTGAGGGTGGGGGAAGAGACTCCCGGGGGCACAGAGATCTTAGGGGGCAAAAGACCCTCGGGGGAATAGAGACCTGTGGGAGGGGTAGAAAACAGACCCATTTGGGGTAGTAACACTCCGGGACACAGACCCGGGGGCACAGAGATCTGAGGGGGAGGGGGCACAGACCTCCCGGACACTCCCCCAAAACGCTGATGGCTGCTCCTCCCCCCATCCCGCAGCTGAATGAGGCGCTGGGGACACGAACCCCACCCCTCCCGGGGCAGTGACGCCCCACACCCCAGGAGGGCACACGAGGGCAGAGCCCCCCCACCCCACAACCGGCCCCCCATCCCAGTCTGACCCCCTCCCCAAACTGGTTTGTACTGGTGTTCAGACCCCCCACACGTGTCCGCCCCCACATTGGGGAGGAACCCCCAATTGCCCCCCAACCCCGGCCATTTTGGGGGTTGGGGAGGCTCTGACCCCCAAATCCAACCCAGCCCCCCACCCATCCCAGTCCAAACTGGTTCTTACTGGGGACTGGGACCCCGTCCATGGTGGGGGCAGGATCCTGCCCCCCCAAATAAACACATGACACCCACGGTGGCTTTGGCTTATTTTAGGGGCTCCCCACCTCTGGGACCCCCAATGACACACGAGCCTGGGGGCCCAAAGAGGCACCCCCTCACCAAAAACACCCCTGAAGCCCCCCAAATTGCTCCTGAAGCCCCCGGGTTCAGGGGTGTTTTTGGGGGATTCAGGGCTGTTTTGGAGGAGTTCGTGGGGTTTTGCAGGGTTCAGAGGTGATTTTGGGTGGGGGGTTCAGGGTGTTTGGGGGTTCAGGGTTGTTTTTGGGGGATTCAGGGCTGTTTTGGGGGTTCAGGGGTGTTTTGGGAGGGATTCAGGGGTGGTTTTGGGTGGGGGTTCAGGGGTGTTTGGAGGAGTCAGGGGTGTTTTGGGAGGGATTCAGGGGTGGTTTTGGGTGGGGTTCAGGGTTGTTTGGGGGTCAGGGGTGGTTTTTTTGGGGGGTTCAGGGCTGTTTTAAGGGGTTCAGAGGTGTTTTTGGGGGATTCAGGGCTGTTTCGGGGGTTCAGGGGTGGTTTTGAGTGGGGGGGTTCAGGGCTGTTTTACGAGGGTTCGTGGGGTTTTGCGGGGTTCAGAGCTGTTTTTGGGGGTTCAGGGTGTTTGGGGGTCAGGGTGTTTGAGGGGGGATCAGGCTGTAGTGTGGGGGTTCAGGGGTGTTTTTGAGTGTGGGGTTCAGGGGTGTTTTTTGGGGGCTTCAGGGGTATTTGGGGGTTCAGGGGTGGGTTTGGAGTGGGGGTTCAGGGTGTTTTTGGGTGGGTTCAGAGCTGTTTTGGGGGTTCAGAGGTGTTTTTGGGGGTTCGGGGTGTTTTGGGGATTCAGAGGTGTTTTTGAGGGGGTTCAGGGCTGTTTGGGTGGGTTCAGGGGTGGTTTTGGGTGGGGGATTCAGGGCTGTTTTTTGGGGGTTCGGGGGTGTTTTGGGGGTTCAGAGCTGTTTTTTGGGGGTTCAGGGCTGGTTTTTGAGGGGATTCAGGGGTGTTTTTGGGTGGGGGTTCAAGGCTGTTTCTGGGGGTTCAGGGCTGTTTTGGGAGGATTCAGGGGTGTTTTTGGGGGATTCAGGGGTGTTTTGGGTGGGGGAGAGCGGGACCTGCAGAGAAACCCCGGGACAGGCGGGACCCCAAACCCTCCCCTCCCCACTCGGGACCCCAGCCCGCTCAGGGGTGGGGGTTGGGGGTTTGTCCTGCGGGTGCCCCGGGGGTGGGGGAGGGGCGGTCACCGCGCCCGCCGCCCCAGGGGTCCCCACGAGGGTCCAGAGTCCCCCGTGCTGACGTCAGACCCTCCCAGCTGGGACATTGACTCCCCTCGGGGGTGGCACCGACCGGGTTAACCCCCTGACCCTCCCCACCCCTCCTGGGCTCCCCTGACCCCTCTGGGGACACGGAGGGGTCTCCAACACCCCCCTCCCGCGTGTCTCCCCCTCTGTCCCTCCCCCTCCCCGTGAGGCCACGCCCCCGTGGGCTCACCTCGCTCCACCCCCACCCACCCCGGGGGGGTCACGGAGGGGGAGTTGAGTCACAGTGGGGGAGGGGCAGGAGCTGCAGAGGTACCAAAATCAGTTTATTGCCAATAAATAAACCCGGAATCACCGGGGGGAGGGGACAGGGGGAGGGGACAGGGGGAGGCCACGGCCACCAGCAGCGCTGGGGTCACCACCGGGCTGTGGGGGGGCCACCATCGGGGTCATTGAGGCCACCACGGGGTTGGGGACACCCAGGGGGTCACGGCCACCCCCAGGGGCTCTGCCAAAGTAGTGTCACTGTGGGGTCACTGGGGGGTCAAGGGTCGGGGCCACCACCAGGTGTGGAGTCACCACGAGGCTCAGGGACACGCTGGGATGGGGGACACGCTGGCCTTGGGGACACCACGGTGGGAGGGGACACGGCCGAGGTCGAGGGGCCACCAGTGGGGTCACGACCTCGCCATTGTCCCCAACATCCCCAGTGTCCCTGGTGTCCTCGATGTCCCTCGGTGTCCCTGCTGTCCCTCAGTGTCCCTGGAGTCCCTCGTTGTCCTCGGTGTCCCCGCTGTCCCCGTGTCACCGCTCCAGGAAGCGCAGCCCGATGGGGGTGCCGGGGGCCAGCAGGGTTCGGGTCATGGGGGTCACCCGGGCCCCCCCGGGCTCTGGACGCACCTCAAAGTGCAGCAGGATCTGGGGGGGTGCAGGGACAGGTGAGGGACGTGGGAGGGGGCCCCAGGGGCCAGGGGGCCGGCAGGGACAGGGGGGCGGCAGGGACAGGGGGGACAGGGGCCGGCAGGGCCGGGGGGCCGGCAGGGCCAGGGGGGCGGCAGGGACACCCACCTGAGCCAGCGCCATGTGCAGCTGCAGCTCGGCCAAGCGGCGCCCCACGCAGCTCCGGGGGCCGAGGCCGAAGGGCAGGGAGGCAAAGGGGTGCCCGGGGCCGGGGGTGGCCCTGGGGGTGGCCCTGGGGTGCCCAGGGGTGTCCCCAGAGCCGTCCCCGGGGTGGGGGTGGCGCAGCCAGCGCTCCGGGCGGAATGAGTCGGGCTCGGGGAAGAAGCGGCTGTCGCGGGACGTGGCGTAGTGGCAGAGGGTGATGAGGGTCTGGGGGACAGGGGGTCAGGGGACACGCTGGGGACCCTCGGGGTGGTGTGTGGTGGGGTGTCCCCTCGCTCACCTGGCGGGGCACCAGGTACTCCCCACGTGGATGTCGCGGTCGGGCACCACGCGGGCGTTGGCCGGGATAACGGGGTACAGCCTGGGGGCACGGGGTCACCCCTGGCCCCGACCTCAGCCCTGACCCTCCTGGCCCCTCTGCATCCCCACCCCGGCCCCAGCCCCACCCTGTCCTTGTCCCCATCTTCAGCCTGGGCTCCATCCTCATCCTCCTCCTCCCCACCATCCTCATCCTCCCCACATCCCCTTTGCATTCCCCCACCCCCATCATCCTCATCCCCTCACCCACATCTCCATCCCCATCCCCCTCCCCTTCCAATGCCCCCATCCACATCATCCCTCCATCCCCATCCCCATCCTCAGCATCATTCCCACCATCCTCCTCCCTCCCACTCCCTTCCCATTCCCCTACCCCCATCATCCTCATCCCCCTCACCCCCACCCTCATCCTCGTCTCCCCCATCATCCTCATCCCCCATCCTCAGCATCATTCCCATCGCCCTCCTTGTCCCCATTTTAATCCCCACCCTCATCCCCACATCCCCTTCCCCACATCCCCTTCCCCACGTCCCCACCCCATCCCTGTCCCCATGTCCCATGTCCTTGTCCCCTCCCATCCCTGTCCCCACGTCCCTGTACCCCTGACCCCACATCCCCTCCCTGTCCCCATGTCCTGTGTCCCTGACCCCACGTCCCCACCCCATCCCTGTCCCCATGTCCTATGTCCATGTCCCCACATCCCCACCCCACCCCTGTCCCCGTGTCCCTGTCACCTGAGTGTCTCCTTCACCACAGCCCTCAGCAGGGGCAGCCGTCTCAGCGCGGCCGCGGTGGCCCCGGCGCTGGCCCCGTCACCGCTGGTGGCACCGCTGGGGACAGCGCTGGGGACCCCGTGGGTGGCAGTGGCGGCCACCAGCTCCCGGTGCAGGGCCGCCTGTGTGCCCGGGTGCCGGGCCAGCTCGTACAGGCTCCAGGCCAGCGTGCTGGCCACCTGGGGACAGGGGCACGCGGGTGACACGGGGACCTCGGCGCGCCCCGCGGGGCCCCCCCGGCGCCCCCCCCTCACCGTGTCCACCCCCGCCAGCAGCAGCTCGGTGACGTTGCCGTAGATGCTGCTCATGGGGAGCCGCTCCCGGGCCAGCAGGTCGGTGACACAGCTGTCCCCCGAGGCCAGTGGCCCCTGCGCTGCCACCACTGCCACCCGGCGGTCCACGTGGGCCTTGGCTGGGGACAACAACACTGTCAGTGCCACCATGGCCATGGGACAACACTGTCAGTGTCACCACCATGTGCTGTCCACGTGGGCCTTGGCTGGGGACAACAACACTGTCAGTGCCACCATGGCCAGGGGACAACACTGTCAGTGCCACCATGGCCATGGGACAACAACACTGTCAGTGCCACCATGGCCATGGGACAACACTGTCAGTGTCACCATGGCCAGGGGACAACAACACTGTCAGTGCCACCATGGCCATGGGACAACACTGTCAGTGTCACCATGGCACAACAACACTGTCAGTGTCCCCATGGCCATGGGACAACAACACTGTCAGTGCCACCATGGCCAGGGGACAACAACACCCTGTCAACAACACCCATCAGTGCCACCATGGCCATGGGACAACACTGTCAGTGCCACCATGGCCATGGGGACAACAGCACTGTCAGTGCCACCATGGCCATGGGACAACACCCTGTCAACAACACCCATCAGTGCCACCACCATGTGCTGTCCACATGGGCCTTGGCTGGGGACAACACCACCCATCAGATCAGTGTCCCTGTGACTCTGGGACAACAACACCCCCTCAGTGCCACCACCACGTGCTGTCCACGTGTCCCCTGGCTCAGAGGGATGACACCATGGCACTGTCACCACGGTCATGGGTCCCCACAGGATGTCCCGGTGTCCCCAGTGGGTCATGTCCCCAAGGGATGTCCCCCTGTCCCTGCAGTGTCCCTGTCCCAAGGGATGTCCCCTGTCCCCAAGGGATGTCCCCTGTCCCCTCACCGAAGGCGAAGAGCTGGTCCCAGGCTCCACAGAAGGCGTCCCAGGGGGCAGGGACGAGGCGCAGGAGGGGCCTGGGCAGTGCCATCGTCACCAGGGTCAGCGCCAGCACCGCCCCCACGCACCGGATCACACCCTCAGTGGCCTCGGTGGCCTCGGGGTCCCCGTTGTCCCCCAGGCAGCCCAGGCGGGAGGAGAAGAGCACCCAGGAGATGGCTGGGGGGACACAGGGGACATTGGGGATGTGGGGACACGGGGGTGGGGGGACACTGGGGACATGGGGCACCCTGGGCACCGTGGAAGACCCCGGGGACAATGGGACATGGGGACACTGGGGACAGGGGGATATGGGGATGATGGGGACAGTGGGGACATGGGGATATGAGGGGACATTGGGACTTGGGGCACCCTGGGGACCATGGAAGACCCCGGGGACACGGGGACAGAGGGAGGGGAAGCTCAAGAGTCCTTGGGGACACTTGGGGACACTGAGGGACAGAGGGGGACTTGGGGAACATGGGGAGTCCCTTGGGGAGACAAGGAGGGTCCCTGTGTGGGGGGGGTTCCAGCCCCAAGGGGGTCCAGGCCTTGGAGGGGGACATGGGGGACCCTTTAGAGGGGACACAGGTGGGGGACAGAGGGACAGAGAGCCAGGTGGGGGACTGGGACAGAGGTGACAGGGCATGGAGAGGACACTCAGGAATGGGGGAGAGGGGACAGAGAGAGGGATGAGGACAGGGGGGACAGTGACAGGGTGCGGGATGGGGACAGGGATGGGGACAGTGACAGGGTGGGGGATGGGGACACGAGTGACGGGTGAGGGACAGAGACAGGGGTGACACAGGGGGTACATGTGGGACCCAGGGCACATGGGTGGGACAGGGGACACAGGGGACACAGGTGGGACACAGGGGGGATCTGGGGGGACACAGGTGGGATCTGGGGGTGTCCCTGCCCTTTGGGGGGGTTGGTTCTGGGGTCCCCCCCTCACCCTCGAGGCCGAAGCGGTTGAACTCGGAGCCCACGTCGCTCACGACCCCCCCCGGGTGGCGCTGCCGCAGCCACCGCAGCCGCGTCACCAGCTCGGCCACCGCCACCGCCACCGGGCCCGCGAAGCGCTCGGCAGCCCCCGGAGCCAGCAGCCCCCGCGCCAGCACACGCCGGGACCCCCGCCAGGCATCACCCTCCCTGCGGGGGGACACGGTCACGGGGGGACAAGGGGACGGGGACACGGGGGGACAGGGACACAGGGGACAAGGGGACAGGGACATGGGGGACAGGGACACGTGGGGACAAGGGACAGGGACATGGGGGACAGGGACATGGGGGGACAGGGACACGGGGGACAAGGGGACAGCGACATGGGGGGACAGGGACATGGGGGACAGGGACACGGGGGGACAGGGACACGGGTCATGGGGGGTACGGGGGGGACAGGAGGGACAAGGGGCATGAGATGGGATATGGGGGGTAAGGGGGACGTGTGGGGGACAGGGGACATGGATGGGAGATGGGAACAGGTGACACATCATGGAGGGGACACGGGATATGGATACGCAGGACATGGGGGAACAGCGAGGACACAACACAGGGGACACAGGGGACACGGGACAGGGCAAAGGGGATACAGGGGACACAGGAATGGGGGAGTGGGGACAGGGAGGGGAACAAGGACATGGGGGGGATGGGGACAGGGATGGGGACAGGGATGGGGACAGGGATACAGTAGGGGATGGGAACACGAGTGACAGGTGAGGGGCAGAGACGGGGTGACACAGGGACACAGGTGGGACCAGGGGGACACAGGTGGGACCAGGGGAACACAGCCCCCCCCGAGGCAACTCCAGGGTCCCTGCAGGTGTCACCTGTGACAGCCAAGGGGTCCCTGAGCCCCCGGGGGTGGTTGGGGGGTGCCGGGGGAGGGTGTGGTGGCTGTGCAGGGTTTGGGGTCCTCCCCACCCCTGCCGAGGCCGGGCCCCCGGGCAGTTACTCACATCCTGCGTGGGGGTGGCAGGGGGAAAGCGGGGAGGGGGCGGGGGCTGAATCACTCCTGAGTCACCTCGGGCCCCCGCACCCCACAAGCCCTTCCCGGAACGGGCCGGGGTGGGGAGGCTGGAACCCCATGAGGTAGAGACCCCCAACCCACGAGAGCCCTGGGAGCCCCTGTGACCCCCTTCTGTGAGACCCCCGTGTGACCCTCCAAACCCCACGTGCAGCCCCCAACCCCTGTGCGTGGGGTGGGGTCACCTCCCAAAAGTGACCCCTGACCCCCTGCCCAGCCCCCAAAACCCCCTCAGCCCGTAGACCCCCCCAGCCCATTTACAGCCCCCAGACCTCCCGGCAGCCCCCAAAGCCCACCCACAGCCCCCAGACCCCACAAACAGCCCCCACGGGGAACACACAGAGCCCCCAGGTAGTCCACAGACCCCCATCCACAGCCTCCAACCCCCCAGGCAGCGCCCCCGTGGGCAACACCCAGACCACCATTCACAGACCCCTCCACCCCATAGCCCCCAGCCCCTTCCCCAGGCAGCCCCCAAATCCTACCCACAGCCCCCAGACCCCCTCCCGTGGAGCACCCCCATCATCCCCAGGCTCAGCCCCCTCCCCTCGGTGACCCCTCCCATAGACTCACAGCGTGAGGAGCCCCCCCGGGACCCCGCGGAGGGCCCGGTGGTCCTTCCAGGGGCAGCTCAGGGCGCGGGAGGGTCGGGCCCTCCTGGCGCAGCACCTGAGCCACGAGCGTGGGCTCGGCCACGTGAACCGTGAGCACCGGCCCGAACCGCGCCCGCCACAGCGGCCCGAACCGCGCCCGCGCGTGGACCTGGGGGCACAGGGAGGGGGGACACGGGGGTCACACCGGGCCCTGCGGGGCTCCCACAGCGGCCCCACCCGGGACCGGCACCCGCTCGGGGGGCACCGGGGACCGAACAGCCCCGGCCTCGGGATGGGGGTCCCGGGGGGGGACACCGGGAGGTCGCAGTGGGGGTCCCGGGTAGGGAGGGGTCGCACAGGACCGGCTGCAGCGCGGCCCGGAGTGGGGGATCCCGCTCTCCCCGCGGTCCCCGCCCCGCTGTGTCTCCCTGAGGGCACCCCTGGCACCCCCTCCCCGGTACCGCTTCCCCCTCCCCCCGGCACTGGGGGGGCACCATGAGGTGGTCCTGCCCCTGCACAGCCCAGGGTCCCGATCCCATCCCCCCCCCACGCCCTGCGGATCAGTTTGGGGTCCCCGAGCCCCTCAGCCTGGGCAGTGAGGGGGTCCCTTGCCTCCCCAAGCCCCAGGGGTTAAAATCAGGGTCTCCCCACACCGCGGTCTCTCCAGTCCCCTCCAGGACTCGAGGGGCTGGGTCTGGGGTATCCCCGGTCCCCTCCCAGAGCCCCCCCAGCCCCTCTGTGCCCTCCCCAGGACAGCAGGACCAGGACCCTGCCAGGTCCCCCTCGCCCCCTCCCAGCCCCGAGTGGTGGCAGGGGGTCTCCCCGTCCCTTTGTCCCCTCCAAGCCCCAGGGAGTGGGATCGGACCCCGGGCAGCCCCCAACCCACCCCAACCCACAGCCCCCCCGTTCACAGCCCCCTTGGCCCCTCCAAACCCCGTCCACAGCTCTGGAACACCTAGACCCCCCGTGGGGAACACCCTGTCCCCTCCGAGCCCCAGACGGTGGCACTCGTTGTCCCCTCGCCCCCTCCAAGTCCCAGGGCAGAGGGTCCCGCACCCCCAGCCTGGAGGGGCCGCCCGTGCCCCCCACCCCGGCCCCGTTACCTGCATCTCGTGCAGCCTCCGCACCCCCCCGGCACAGCAGCTCGAAGATGAAGGACGAGGAGCTCGGGCCCGGCATCTCCGCCAGCCCCAGGGGCCGGGGGGGGGTCGGGGGACGCCGCGGGACCCCCGGCTCGGGCAGGGAGTGGGACAGGACAGCCCGGAGTGGGGGGCGCAGGGTGGGGGGCATAGCGGGCTGGGGGCTCGGGTGACACGAGGGGACACGGGCAGCGCTGGTGGCACCGGGAGGAGCGGGGGAGCAGCCGAGGGGCGCGGGGGAATATCTGGGGGTCTCGGGGCCGATCCTCGACTGAGCCGCGGCCCCCGGGCCGGGCCTTTATAGCGCCCACGTGGAGCCGCCGGGGCCACGCCCCCTCCGCCAGGACCACGCCCCAGGCCATCAAACCACGCCCTTTTCACCAGAACCCACGCCCACTTCAAAATTAGACACGCCCCGTAGATGCTAAGCCACGCCCACCCAAAAGGGCTGTTTTGCATGCTGGGTTCCCTCTGGCCAATCAGCGCTCGGAGGGGGCGGGGCCGCGGGGCAAAGCTCCGCCCCCCTCCCGGCGTGGGCAGAACCGGGGGCGCGAACGGGCCCGGGCCCCCCAAAAAACCCAATCAAACCCCCCCAAAACCAACCCCCCAGACACCACCCGGTCCCAGCACCCTCACCCCGCATTTAGGGTTGAGGGAGGCGCCCCCCAGTCCCGGGAGAGGCTGGTCTGACCCCCCCGGGGCACAGACACACAGACAGACACACAGACAGACACGGCGCATTCCCCCCCACCCCGGCCCGCATTCCCGGGAATTTCCGCCTTGCGCCACCGGGCGGGGGCACTGGAACCCCCCCACGCGTGGGGAAGGGGCGGGGGGGTAACCAGGGTCCCCCAACCCCCTCCCCCCGGGGTTTCCTGCGATGGGGAAACTGAGGCAGGAACCGGCCCCGCCCTCCCCGTTTTTGGGGGGTTGAATTCTAGCAGCCCCCGTGGGAGGGAGTGACCCCACACACACCCGGGTGGATTTTGGGGGCGTGGAAAGACGAGGCTTGGGGACACTTTGCGGCTTTATTAAAAACGCGGGAGGGTCCCCGGGGCTGGCGGGGTCCGCCTCCCCGGCCCCTCAGGGCCCCGGGGTCGGGGCGGCGGCGGAACACGGCGGTGCGGGGGGGCCGCCCAGCCCGCTGGGCGCGCTGCCCCTCCTCGGTCACCGCCGGCAGCAGCGGCACCAGCGGGTCCGCGGCCTGGGGGGGCACGGGGGGGCTGTGACACCGGGGACAACACAGGGACAACACGGACCACCTGGGGAACCCCCCCCGGGGACACCCCAAGGGGCATTGGGGGCATCAGGGACCCCCCCACGGACACCTGGAACAACATGGGGTCACCACAGGAGCACTGGGGACACCAGGGACCCCCCAGGGGCATCAGGGATCCCTCCCGGGTCCCCCCCCACTGACCCCTCTGTGACTTCCCTTGTCCCCCAGAGCCCCCCATGACCCCCAGTCAGTTCCCCAGTGCCACCCTCAACGTTCCCCCATTCCTGTGTCCCCAATTGCCCCCAGTGCCCCCTCCATAACACCCAGTGCCCCCAGTCAATCCCCAGTGCCCCCAATGCCCCCTCATAACACCCAGTGCCCCCCAGTCAATCCCCAGTGCCCCCCCATCACACCCAGTGCCCCCCAGTGCCCCTCACCAGCTGGGCAGGGGTCAGGGGCTCGAACAGGGGGTGCTCCCCGAAATGTTGCAGCATCCACTGGTGCAGCTCAGGGACATCTGTCACCGTGTACACCAGGCCCTGGGACCCCAAACCAGGGACAACCCAAATCAAGGACACCCCCAAATGAGGGACACCCCCAAATGAGGGACACCCCCAATCAGGGACACCCCAAAGCCCTCCAATCCCAGCAGGGCTGGACCCTCCTTCCCCCCCAGCAATCCCAGGGGATCCTGGGGGGGGAGTGGCCCCACTGAGGGGTCTGGGGGGCTCAGGGGGGGTCAGCAGGGTGGGGGCTCACCCCAGGCCTCAGCACGTAGCCGTACTCGGCCAGCATGGCGGGGCTGATGATCCTCCACTTGTGCTTCGTGCGCTTGAAATGGGGGTCGGGGAACAGGAAAAACAGCTTGGACAGCTGGGGGCACAGGGGGGTCAGGGGAGCAGCACCTCACTGGCACTGACCCCCAGTCCCCACAGGGACCCCTTGGAGTGTGGGGCAGGACGAGGCACCCGGGAGGGGGAGACAGGGAGGGGGCTGGGGATCCTGTCCTGGGAAGGGGATCCTGGGGTTTCAAGGTTGGGAAGAGTCCTAAGGGTCCTGGGGGTGGGGAGACCCAGGGTGCTGGGGGTCCCAGGGGTGGTGGGGTTTGGAGGGGTCCCAGGGGTCCCACTTGGACCCCGTGGAAGGAATGGGGGTGTCCCAGGGGTGCCCAGGGGTTGGGGTCTCTGAGGGGTTTCGGGGTTCCGGGACGCGGTCGGTTCAGGGGTGTTGGGGGTCCCAAGGGTCCCACCTAGACCCTGTAGAAGGACTGGGGGGTGTCCCAGGGGTGCCCAGGGGTTGGGGTCCCTGAAGGGTTTCAGGGGAGGGTCCCGGGATGCAGCTGGTTCAGGGGTGTTGGGGGTCCCACCTGGACCCCGTGGAAGGACTGGGGGTGTCCCAGGGGTCCCTGAGGGTTTTGGGGGTTCCGGGATGCAGTCGGTTCAGGGGTGTTGGAGGGGGTCCCAGGGGTCCCACCTGGACCCCGTAGAAGGACTGGGGGTGTCCCAGGAGTGCCCAGGGGGTTGGGGTCTCTGAGGGGTTTCGGTGGTGGGTTCCTGGGGATGCGGCCGGTTCAGGGGGGTGTAGGGGGGGGTGCCGGGGGTCCCACCTGTGCCCTGTGGAAGAAGTGGGGCAGGTGTTTCATGGCGTTGCCCCTCACGCAGGCCACGTTGCCGAAGTGGCCGGGCCGGGCGGCGCGGAGCGCCCGGAGCCGCGCCCGGGTGAACTCGGCCACCTTCCCGCGCAGCTCCAGCCCCAGCGCCAGGCGCTGCGGGAACAGCTCCGCCAGCGCCACTGCGGGGCGGGCACGGGCTCAGCGACAGCCCCCAGGGGGACTCTGGGTCAAGGACACCCCTTCCCAGCACCCCCAAACATCTCGGGGGGGAACCACAGGGTCAGCGACACCCCAACAACCCCCCCCCCGGACCCTCCTGGGGGAGCACGGGATCAGGGACATCCCAACAACCCCCCAATGCCATTTTCCCCCTCAGCTCCCCACCCCCAGGGGCTGGGGTTCAGCTCGGGGTGCAGACCCCAGGGATCCCCTGCGCCCCCATGACCCCCCGTTCATCCCCCTCCCCCAAGACCTCCACGTACCTGCACTCCCCAGAGCTCCCCGTGCCCCCGGTACCCACAGACCCCGTTCTCACCGAGCAGCTCCCCTGTACCCGCACCCCACGTCCGCGAACTCCACGCGGGCCGGGGGTCCCGGGGGCGTCGGGCAGGAAAACGCCGGGAACAGCGAGGCCCAGTCCATGTCCTGCGGCCGGGGGCTGCGGGGGCACGGCCGGTCAGGGGGCTCGGGGGCCGTGAGGAGTCACGGTACCCGGCCCGGGTTACCGGGGGTCTCGGGAGGGGATGGAGCACGAGGGGGGTCCCGGTACCCGGCCCGGGTGGTACCGGGGGGGGCAGCGGGGCGGGCCGGTGTGACCGGGAGGGGATGCAGGACGAGGTTCGAGGGGGTCCCGGTTACCATGGTTACGCACGGGGCCGTGATGGGGGTCCCGGGGGGGTTTTGGGGTGTCCCCAGCACTCACTAGCGCAGGGTGTGATCCGCCAGCGGGTTCGAGTGCGCACGCTGGCGGTAAAAGCGCTTCTGGGGCGGCACCGGCGCCTCCTCCTCCTCCCCTCCCTGCGCCGCCATCGCTGCTCCGGTGGCGCGGGAATGACGTCACGGATGGGCGCTGAGAAGTGACGTCATACATTCAAACCACGCCCACATAGGCTCCACAGCGCCCCCTGGCGGTCCCAGTGCTCCCAGTCCCCCCCAGTGCTCCCAGTGTTCCCTAGTGCTCCCAGTATTCCCAGTCCCTTCAGTGTCCCCCAGCCCTTCCCGTGTCCCCAGCTCTCCCCATTCTCCCCAGTAACCCCCAGTGTCACCAGTGCCCACAGTGCCCCCCAGTCCCCCTCACGTCTCCCCAGTCCCCCCCCAGTGCTGCCCCAGTGCTCCCCAGTACCCCTCAGTGTCACCAGTGCTTATTGTGTTCCCCCAGTCCCCCCCGGTACCCCCAGTGCCCCCCAGTGTTCCCAGTGTCCCCACTGCTCACCAGTGTCTGCAGTGCTCCCCTAGTGCTCCCCCAGTGCTCCCAGTGCCTCCCAGTTTGCCCCATTGCTTCCCAGTGCCTTCCCGTGCTCCCAGTATTCCCAGTCCCTTCATTGTCGCCCAGTCCTTCCCGTGTCCCCAGCTGTCCCCAGTACTCCCCAGTGTCACCAGTGTTCACAGTACTACCCCAGTGCCCCCCAGTGTTCCCAGTGTCCCCACTGCTCACCAGTGTCTGCAGTGCTCCCCCAGTGCTCCCCCATGCTCCCAGTGCCCCCCTCAGTTTGCCCCAGTGCTGCCCAGTGCCCTCCCGTGCTCCCAGTATTCCCAGTCCCTTCAGTGTCCCCCAGTCCTTCCCGTCTCCCCAACTGTCCCCAGTCTTCCCAGTACCCCCCAGTGTCACCAGTGCTCACAGTAACTCCCAGTGCCCCCCCAGTGCTCCCCAATCCCCCCCAGCGCTTCCAGTTCCCCCCGTGCTCCCCCAGTGCTCCTCAGTGCCCTCCAGCGCTCCCAGTCGCCCCAGTACTCCTAGTACCCCCCAGTGCTTCCAGTGCTCCCCGAGTGTCCCCCCAGTTCTCCCAGTATCCCCCCAGTTCTCCCAGTGTCCCCACTCCCCCGCAGTGTCCTCCCAGTGTCTGCAGTGCTCCCCGAATGCTCCCAGTGCCCCCCAGTGTCCCCACTCCCCCTCAGTGCTCCCAGTCCCCCACAGTGTTCCCCCTGTGCTCCCAGTATTCCCAGTTCCCTCAGTGTCCCCCAGTCCTTCCCATCTCCCCCGTGTCTCCAGTCCCACCAGTGCTCCCAGTATCCCCCAATCTCCCCAACTGTCCCAGTCCCCCCACGCCCCCAGTTCACCAGTCCCCACCAGTGTCCCGTCCCTCCAGCGCTCCCAGTTCCCCCCCGCTCTCAGTGCCCCAACACCTCCAGTCTCCCCAGTGCGATCCCCCCAGTCTCCCCAGTCCTCCCCCGCATTCCCAGTCCCATCCCCCGCCCGGGCTGTTCCCGCTCGGCCTCGTTTGGGGAATTTGGGCTGCGGAAACCCAGGTGATTTCTGGGAACCCTGGGGGTTGGAGGCCGCTCTGGGGAGGGGGTTGAGCAACCTGGGGGCCTGACCCACTCTGCCCGGGGGCTTCCAGGAACGGCCCCGCGGGGAGAGTCCGGGGGACACAGGGACCAAATTCTCCCCAGCCCCCCCTCTGAGCTCCACGACCCCCCCGCCGCTCCCTGCCCCCCCTGGGCCACCATTAACCCGGTGACGCGGGTGGTGACGCGGCCGCGTGGGGGTCCCGGCACACTCCAGGGGTTGGGAGGAAGGTTGTTCATTACTCCCGAGGGACCCCTGGTCACTCCCTGCCCCCGGTTATTGGTTATCCTGCTGATCCCGGAGATCCCGGCTCGGGGGGGCACCGGGAGTGGGGATGGGGTACCGGAGAGGTGGCACTGAGGGGTCCCTGGCGGGGGCTGGCACCCGACCCCTTCCCCCGCCAGGGACAGAGGGACAGGGACACCGGTGACAGCAGGGACAGAGGGACAGGGAGGAGGGACATTGGGACAGGGACAGTGGGACAGAGGGACAGCAGGGACATTGGGACAGGGACAATGGGACAGAGGGACAGCAGGGACAGGGAGCAGGGACATTGGGATGGGAACATTGGGACAGGGGCAGCTGGCACAGGGGACAGGGAGCAGGGACATTGGGACAGGGACAGTGGGACATGGGGACAGGGGGACAGGGAGCAGGGACATTGGGACAGGGACAGTGGGACAAGAAGTGCATAAGGGACACAAGGGCCAGGTCAACCAGGAGCCAGGGACAGCAGGGACAGCAGGGACAACAGGGACAGCAGGGACAGAGGTGTGGGGCCAGGGACAGCAGGCACACCAAGGACAGGGACTCTCGGAGTAGGGACATCGTGGCCAAGGCCACCAGGGCTGGGGACACAAGAGATCAGGGACATGGGACCAGGGACACCAAGGAAAGGGACATGGGGCCGGTGACACCAGGAGGAGAAGGACAGGGGGACAGGGACATGGGGACAGGGAGAGCAGAGGGACAGGGACACCCTGAGCAGGGACACCAGAGCCTTGGGGACACTGCAGACACCGGGGCTGGCTCCGGGCTGGGATGGTACTGGTGGCACCGGTGACACTGGTGTTGATGGGACAGTGACAGGAGAGGGAGGGGACAGAGGGTGGCATCGGGAAGAACCCCCAGAGGGAGCAGGGGCGTCTGGCTGGGGTGACATGGGGACAAGGTTGGGAGGGCGGTGACAACGGGGACAGGACTGGGGACACTGGGACGCCAGGGATGGGGCGGGGGACACTGGGGGACACTGGGATGGGGAGGGAACAGGTCAGGGGACAGCAGGGACACACCAGGGGACACCGGGACATGGGATGGGACATGGGGCAGGTGACACAGGGGGACAACGGGAGGGGGGAGGGGACCCCGGGTGACACCAGGGTAGGGGAGGGGACCTCGGACCACTCCGGGCTCTGCGGGGGTGGAGCTTCAAGACCACGCCCCATGTAGGTGTGACTTAGCTTGAACCAACCAATCAGGTGCGGGGGCGCGGTCCGGCCCCGCCCTTTCCAAAATGGCGGCGCCCACGGCCCACGTGGGGGTCGGGGGGGGGTGTGAGGAGGAGGAGGAGGAGGAAACGGAGGAGGAAGAGGACGAGGAAGGGGATGAGGAAGAGGAAGAGGGGCTGCGGGCCGTGTTCCCCCGCGACCCCGAGCTCTTCGCCGAGTCCTTCCCGGCGCGGCGCCGGTTCCGCCTGTGCGGGCGCGTCCTGCGCATCGCGGAGCTGCACGGGCCGGGGCTCGGCCCCGCCGGCAGCGTCTGGGAGGCGGTGAGGGGGCTCCGGGGGCTCCGGGGCGCATTGGGGGTGGGTGGATAATGGGAGTACCGGGGGGGACCGGGACATCCCGCGGGTACCGGGGGACGGTGACATCCCGGGGTTACCGGGGTGGCGGTGACATCCCGGGGATCGGGGGCGGTGCAGTGACATCGCGGGGGACTGGGGAACGGTGACATCCCGGGGGTACCGGGGGGTTGCGGTGACATCCCGGAGGACCGGGAGGGGGTGTGGTGACATCCCGGGGGCGGTGACATCCCGTGGGACCGGGGGTGCGGTGACATCCCGGGGGTATCGGGGGCGGGTGGGAACATCCTGGGGTACTGGGGACGGTGACATCCCGGAGTACCGGGGTGGGGGGCGGTGACATCCCGGGGGCAGGTGGGGACATCCCGGGGTACCAGCGAGTGATACCGGAGGGGTACTGGGGGCTGAGGGGTCCGGGGGAACACACGCGGCGTCCCGGGGGTCCCAGGAGGGTGGGGCGGCGATGGGGAACACTGAGAGAACGGGGTACGGGGGTTCCCTAAGGATCCCCATGGCCGGGGTGCTGCCCTCCCCCCATCCAACACTCCCTCTGTGCCCCCCAGGCCCTGTCCCTGTGCCGGTTCCTGGGGAGCAGAGCCTGGACCTGGGGGGCGGCGGGTCCTGGAGCTGGGGGCGGGCACCGGCATCGTGGGGATCTTCGCTGCCATGCTGGGTGCGGGGGCATTGGGGGCACTGGGGGGTAGTCATGGGGCTGGGGTGGAAGCTTTTGGGGTAGGGAGGGCACCTGAGGGGTGAGGGGAGGGGTTTATTTGAGTTTGGGGGTTTGTGAGTCTGGGGGTTTGGGGGTTCCTGGTGGGTTTCGGGGTTCCTGGGGGTTTGGGGTGCCCGCTCTGACCCCACTGTGCCAGGGTTTATTGGGGTCTGGGGGTTCCAGAGGGTTCCCGGGGGTTTGGGGTTCCGGGAATCTGGGGGTTCCCGATGGGTCTGGGAGTTCCCGGGGGTTGAGGGGTTCCTGGGGGTCTGGGGTTCCAGGAGTTTGGGGTTTCCTGGTGGGTTTGGGGGTTCTGGGGGTTTGGGGGTTCCATGGGGTCTGGGGTGCCCCGCTCTGACCCCGCTGTCTGGGGTTTATTGGGGTCTGGGGGTTCCAGGGGGTTCGGGGTGCCCGCTCTGACCCTGCTGTGCCAGGGTTTATTGGGGTTTGGGGGTTCCTGGGATTTGGGGGCTCCAGGGGGTCTGGAGTGCCCACTCTGACCCTGCTGTGCCGGGGTTTATTGGGGTCTGGGGGTTCCCAGGTGTTTGCGATGGGTCTGGGGGTTCCCGGCGGTTTGGGGGTTCCCGGGGGTTTGGGGGTTCCCGGTGGGTTTGGGGGCTCCCTGGGGTCTGGGGTGCCCCGCTGACCCCTCTGTCCGTGCCAGGGGCCGAGGTGACCCTCACGGACCGTCCCGCGGCGCTGCCGCAGCTGCGGGAGAACGTTCGGCTCAACTTCCCGGGGGGCTCCCTGGCCCGGGGTCGCGGGGGGGCCCCCGCGGGTGCGGGCGCTGCGCTGGGGGCGGGACCAGCGGCGCTTCCCCCCCAAATTCCACCTGGTGCTCGGCTCCGACATCGTGTACGACCCCCGCGCCTTCGCCCCCCTCCTAGCCACCCTCCGGCACATCGTGACCCCCCCGGGCCGGGCCCTGCTCAGCGCCCGCCGCCGGGGGGGGGACGGGGGGACCCCCCTTTTCTTCGAGCGGATGCTGCCCCCGTTTTTTGGGGTGCGGCTGCTGCGGAGGGACCCCCAGAGGGACATCGAGATCTACTGGCTGAGCCCCCGCCAGGGGGCGGGGGACCCCCAGGACACGGCGGGGGCGGGGGACTGGGGGCCCGGAGGGGCAATAAACGGGCTCTGAGGGGTCTCAGCTGAGCGCGCTGGCTGCGATTTGGGGAGTTTGGGGTTCTGGGGTGTCGGCTCTTGCTGGGGAGGTGGCTGGACAAGGCCGTGGGGGTCTGGAAAGGTCAGGGGGCTCTCTGAGGTTCAGGGGGCTCTGGAAAGGCCCTGGGGGTCTCTGCGGGTTGGAGGGGGCGGAGGGGCTCTTTAAAGGTCGGGGGGTCTGGGAGGGTCTGGGGAGCTTTGGAAAGGCCTCGTTGGGGGAGGGGACTTATGGGGGTGGGAGGGGATGCCCCTGTCCTGGGGGCTCATGGGAGGCAGGGGGTCTGGGGGAGGTTAAATGGCCCTGAGGCCTCAGCTCGGCCCCCGGTGTGATTTGGGGGCGTGGAGGAGTTTGGGGTGGGGGCCAATTTGCGGTGGGGGGATGTCTGGGCAAGGCTGGGGGCTTTAGAGAGGCCTGGAGGGTCTGTGATGGTCGGGGACTTTGGGAAAGCCTCGTTGGGTTTATGGGGGGCGGGGCCGGGGGCTCTGGGGTGTCGGTCGCGCTTCAGTGGCGTCACGCGATAGATCAGTGACGTCATCAGGAGGCGCCGCGGGCAGCCCGGAATGCAGCGCGCGGTGCTGAGCGCGCTCGGGGGCGGCGAGGGTGAGACCCCGGACCCTCCTGGGAACCCCCTGGAACCCACCCCGGGAACCCCATTGAGCCCACCCCACCGGGAACCCACCCCATGGAACACACCCCCTGGAACCGCTGCGTGGAACCCCGCATGGAACCCACACCCACCCGGACTCCCACGGGAACCCCCATGGAACCCACCCCACCGGGAACCCCCCATGGAACCCACCCTGGGACCCCCACGGGAACTCCCATGGAACCCACCCCACTGGGAACTCCCCATGGAACCCACCCTGGGAACCCCATTGAGCCCACCCCATGGAACCCACCCCACCGGTAACCCCCCATGGAATCCATCCCCACCCCAGAACCCCTGCGTGGAACCCCGCATGGAACCCACCCCACCGGGAACCCCCTGATGGAACCCACCCCACCCCGGAACCCCAACAGAACCCACCCCCATCCCAGAACCCCCATGGAACCCACTCCGAACCCTTCCCCCGTGGAACTCCCCCGGGTACCCCCTGGGAACCCTGCATGGAACCCACCCCACCCCAGAACCCCACAGGAACCCCTCCCCGTTTACCCCCACGGGAACCCACCTCCGAGAACCCCCATTGGAACCTCCCCACCTCCTGGACTCCCCCCGCACCCCGTGGAACCCACCCATGGAACCCCTCCGTCAGAACCCACGTGGAACCCTCCCTAGGGAACCCACCTCCGTCCGGGAACCCCCTGTGCAACCCACCCCTGACCCGGGATCCCCCACGGAACCCATCCTACCGAGAACCCCCATAGGAACCCACGCCCGGACCCCCGGAAACCCCCATGGAACCCACCCCACTGCGAACCCCCCATGGCACCCACTCCCGACCCCCACGCTGGGCACCCATCCCTGGGGCCCCCGGACACCCCTCTATGGGACTCCACGGCCCTCTCCCGGGCACCCCTCAGACCCACCCCCACCTCTGACCTCCCTTCCTCCCGTAGCCTGTCCCCCTGAGTTCCCCCACCCCCTGGCCGGGGGTCGTGCTGCACTGACTGCCTCCACCCGTGCCCCCGCAGGCCCCTCGTGCCGCTGGCTGAGCGGGGCCCCCCGCGCTGCGGGGGCTGCGGAGCTGCAGGCGCGGACGGGACAGCCTGTGCTGCGCTAGCCGGGAGGCGCTGGAGAGGGCGGGGGCGACCTGCGGCAGGTGGGGGCACCTGGGGAGGGGGCACCTGGGGGGCACTGGGGATGGGTGGGCACCTGGGGGAGGTGAGGGGCACTGGGGATGGGGGGCACTGGGGATGGGGGCACCTGGGGAGGCTAGCACTGGGGACGAGGGGGCACCTACGGCAGGTGGGGGCACCTGGGGCAGGTGGGGGCACTGGGGGATGGGGGCACTGGGGATGGGGGCACCTGCAGCAGGTGGGGTACTGGGGGCACCTGGGGGAGGGCGGGGGCACCTGCTGGCAGGTGGGGGCACCTGGGGAACGGGGGGCACCTGCGTGGAGGTTGGAGGGCACTGGGGGCATCTGGGGACGGGGAGCATCTGGGGAAGGTGGGGCACTAGGAGGGGCACCTGGGGATGGGGAGGGCACTGGGGGCACCTGGAGGAGGTGGGGGATACCTGGAGGACGGGGGGCACCTGGGGGAGGTGGGGGCACCTGGGGGATGGGGGGGCACCTGGGGGACAAGGGGGGCACTGGGGACAAGGGGGCACCTGGGAGGTGGGGGCACCTGAAGGACGGGGGAGGGGGGTCAGGGAAGCGGGGGCATGGGGACCTTGGGCAAGGTGAGGAGGGGGCCAGGAATGGGGAGGGGGTACCTGTGTGGGGTGTGGGAAGAACTGGGGGCGCTGGGGAGGGTGAGCAGGACAGGGAGGGGACCCGGGGGTGCAGGAACAACCTATGGGGGACTTGGGGGTCAGGAGGTGGGATTGGGAGCTGGGGGCCAGGACTGGAGGGGGAGAAGAAGGGGGAAGCCTTGAGATCCTCCCTGTAGTGGGGCAATAAAGAGGGGGACTCTGGGGTCCTTGGGGCAGCCCCATCCCTGGTTGGGGGTGGGGTGGAGCTGCAGTGTTGGGGTCTGCACACCCTCCCCCCACAGCAGGGTCACCCCAGTGTCCCCCCGTGAGCCCCCATGGGGCCATGGTGACCCTGTACCCCTCAATTTGCCCCATTCTGCCCCCAGGCCGAGGCCTGGCTGGAGGCCGAGTCAGTGCCTGGGGGACACTGGGCGACCCTGTGCCCCCAACTTGCCCCCAATTTGCCCCCCAGGCTGAGGCCTGGCTGGAGGCCGAGTCTCGCCGCCGGGGCTGGGCCAAGGCCGCAGCCCTCGGAGCCCCCCGGGCCCGCCAGGGGCTCGTGGGGGTCCTGAGCGAGGGCTCTGCTGCTGTCATGGTGGAGGTGAGTGTGGGGACACCGGGGGGGGCTCCCCAAATCCCTCAAGGGGGGTCTCCCTGTGCCCACCTTTAACCCCCCCCCCACCCAGGTGAACTGCGAGACGGATTTCGTGGCCAGGACCCCCGAGTTCCAGCAGCTGGTGGAGATGGCGGCCAGGGGGGTGCTGGGGCACTGCCAGGGGGCTGAGGGCACCAAGGTGGGGGATCTGAGAGGCTGGGGGGGTTTGGGGGTGCTGGGGGGAGTTTTGGGGTGCCAGGGTGATGTTGGGGTGCTGGGGGGAGTTGGGGGAGTGCTTGGGGGGGTTTTGGGGTGCTGGAGGAATTTTGGGGTGTTGGGGGAGTTGTTGGAGGGGTTGGGGTGCTGAAGGAGTTTGAGTGCTGGGGGAGTGCCAGTATGTGAGGGTGTTGGGGATGCTGGGTGGGTTGTTGGGGGTGCTGGGGAGTTTTGGGGTGCCAGGGTGATGTTGGGGTGCTGGGGGGGTTAGGGGTGCTGAGGAGTTTGGGGTGTTGGGTGGGGGAGTCGGTGGAAGTTTTGGGTGTTGGGAGGAGTTTTGGGGTGCCAAGGTGATGTTGGGGTGCTGGGGGTGTGTGGGAGAGGTTTGCAGTGCCAGGAGTGTTTGGGGTGCCAGGGAGGGTTTGGGGTGCTCCTGACCCTCCCCCCCACCCCCAGCACCTGCTGCGAGAGGATGAGCTGGCCCAGCTGCGGGTGGGGGACGGGGGGGACCTGCTGAGTGACCACCTGGCACTGGCCATGGGTGAGTGAGGACCCCAGTGCTCCCAGTATGCCCAGTGCCCTTCCCATGACCATCCCAGTGCTCCCAGTACACCCAGTGCTAATCCCAGTACTCCCAGTCTGCCCAGTGCCCGCCCCATGCCCATCCCAGCCTGCCCAGTGCCCCCCAGTCCCTCCTATTATGTCCAAACCCCCTCAGCCCCCACCCCCAGTGACCCCGCCAGTGCCTCCCGGTATCCCAGGGATCTGGAATTGCCCTGGTCCCCTCCCAGTGCCACTGGGACCCCCCCAGTGCCACCCCCAGAATGTGTTTGGGCGGATCTCGGGGTGGGGGAGCGGTCCATGATCCCCCTTCTCCCCCAGTTTTGGGGTAGAGACTATGACCCCCCTCTCCCCCATTCTGGAGGCTCAGGCTTGCCCCCCTCTCCCCAGTTTTGGGGGTGTGGGTTGGGACCCCCCCATTTCAGGGGGTGCAGGCTGTGACACCCTGTTTGGGGGCACAGGCTCTGCCCCCTTTCTCCCCCATTTCAGGGGGTAAAGTCTGTGCCCCCCCATGCCCCCAGTTTTGGGGTTCACCCTGTGCCCCCCTCCCCATTTGGGGTTTCTCCCTTTGGGGCTCACCCGTGCCCTCCCCATTTTGGGGTTCCTCCCCATTTGGGGCTCACCCTGTGCCCCTGTCCCCACTTTGGGGCTCACCCCGTGCCCCCCTCTGCATTTTGGGGTTCCCTGTCCCCACTTTGGGGCTCACCCCGTGCCCCTGTCCCCATTTTGGGGTTCCCTGTCCCCATTTTGGGGGCTCACCCCGTACCCCCCTCCCCATTTTGGGGTTCCCTGTCCCCATTTTGGGGCTCACCCCGTGCCCCTGTCCCCGCAGGTCGCCTGGGGGAGCGGCTGTCGCTGTGCCGGGCCGGGTGGCTCCGCGCCCCGGGGGGTTTCGTGGCCACCTACACGCACGGGTGGGTGCCCCCCGGCCCCCCCGTGGCCATGGGCACCTACGGGGCCCTGGTGTCCTGCGGGGGGCCGGGCCCGGGGCCCCCCCCGCCGGAGCTGCGGGAGTTGGGGCGCAGGGTGGCCCAGCACGTGGTGGGTCTGGCGCCCACCGAGCTGGGGACCCCCGAGGACGAGCTGGGGGGCGAGGGGGAGCGGCGGCTGCTGGCGCAGGGGACCCTCCTGGAGCCGGGGGTGCCCCTGGGCCGCTTCCTGCGGGACCGGGGGGGGCTCCGCGTCTGGGACTTCCTGCGCTTCCAGTGCGGGGAGGAGCCCCCCGAGGAGCCCCCCCGGGACCCCCCCGCGCCGCCGGCCTGAGGGGGTAGGGCTCGGCCCCTCCCCACCCCGAGATTTGGGGGTGAAGGTGAATAAAGGTGTGAAAGAACGAGCTCGGAGTGTTTTGTGGATCCCCCTCTCCAGGGAGCCCCAATTTCCTGCCGGGTTTTAATGGCGAATCGATACAAAAAGAGGCACAAACCCTTCGTGGTGGTGGGGGAGGCGCCCAGGACACCCCAAACCCTCGGGGGTGGGCGGGAAGGGGGCGATGTCTGGGGGTGGGGGCGTGTCCAGGACGCCCCAAAGCCGGGGGCACAGGGAGCTGTTTTGGGGGCGTTTCCTCCTGGTGGTGACACGGGGGGTGTAAATGGGGGAGGGGCGCGGGGAGAGGTCACGGGTATCCCGGGGGTCCGGGAGGTGTCTCCCCGTCCTGTCCCTGCCCCTGGGATGGGGGTCCCTGGTGGGACACGGGGGGCTTCAGGGGTTACAGGGGACCTGGGGGAGGGTGAGGGACAAAGGTGATTTGGGTGGGTGAGAGACGTTGAGGCCGAGGGGTGGTGGCAGCGGGGGGAGGGCTGAGGGAGGGGGTGACACGCGTGGGGGCCGGGAGATGCCCTCCCCCTGTGCCCCTCCGTGACGTCACCGGCCGCCTCCCGGGACAAGTAACCGGGAACAGGCCGGGCTGGAACAGCCTATCCTGGATTACTTGAACCGGGCCGAGGCCCTCGGACTGGCCCCCCGCCCTCGCTTCGGAGCCCCCAGACACCCCGAACCCCCTCTCGCCGGAACCCCCAACACGCCCTTCTCGCCCTAAGCCCACGAGTCCCAGAGCCCCCAACGCACCCTCCCACCCCTGGAACCCCCAACGCACCCTCCCGACCCCCGACCCCCAACGCACCCCTCCCACCCCTCTGGACCCCCCAATACACCCTCCCGACCCCCGACCCCCAACACACCCTCCCCCCGACCCCCACTACACCCTCCCTCCCGTCCGGACCCCCAACGCACCTCTCCTCCCCTGACCCCCAACGCACCTTCCCTTCCCCGGACCCCCAACGTACCCCTCTCCCCCTCCTCCGGAACCCTCAACAAACCCTCCCTCCCCCGGACCCCCAACGCACCCCCCCCGACTCCCAACACACCCTCTCCCTCCCCCGGACCCCCAACACCCCTCTCTCCCCTCCCCTTCCTCTGGACCCCCAACACCCCCTCCCGCCCCTCCCGGGTGGTCGCGGGGGTCCCTGTCCCCACCCGCTCAGGGGTCCCAGGGGGTGTTGGTTTGGGGACACCCCCAGCCCCAGAGCAGGGTGTCCCCGCCCCGAAACCCCCCGCGGCCTCAGGGCTGCCCAAACCCCCCGGGATTGGGGAAGGGGGCGTGTCCCGGGGGTGACAGCGAGGCGGGGACACCCCGGGGTCTCAGCAACCCCTGCCCGCCCCCTCCCGGGGGCTCGGCCGCGCCCCCTTCCTCCCTCCCCGTACCTGCCGTTCCGCTGCCGTCCGGCCCGGGGGTTTGGGGGTTTGGGGATTTGGGGTGTGGGGGGAGGGGCGAGTGTCCCCGTGCCGGGGTAGGGGAGGGGCGAGGGTGGGGGCGGGGGCGCGCGCGCCCACCCGAGCAAAGGGGGCCGCGGCGGTTTCGAGGCGCCCCGATGGGGAGGGAGGAGGGTGGGGCTCGGGGGGTGGGGAGGGGCGGCCTCGTCCGGAGCGTTTCGTTATTTTGGGTATTTCGGGATTTTCGTTATTTTCGTGATTTTTGTGACGGACGCTCCGAGGGGGCGGGGCCCAGGGGGGCCTTGAAACGGCCCACGGGCGCTGATTGGCTGAGCGGAGGCGGGGGCGGGGCCTGGAGGTGAGGATTGGCTGGGCCCAGAAAGGGGGCGGGACCAGAGCGTGTTTACCTCGAGAAGTGCCCGGGAGGGGGCGGGGCCTGCGCAGGACACGCCCCAGTGTGGAAGGGGTGGAGCCTTCCGAGACACACCCACGGTGGGGGAAGGGGCGTGGTTTGCGTATTGGCCACGCCCACTCTGAACCCCACCCCGACCCCACCCCCAGCCTGGAGCCCCGCCCCCGGGCCCTGGAACTTGAGTCCCTTTTCTGCCTTAATTAAATTAAATTAAATTAAAAAATTATTAATTTTGTTTAATAAGACAGAGAATTCTCGCTTTTACCTGTTTATTAGTTTTATTAGTTTTTAATTGAAAACCGAATAATTATATATTATTAATATATAATTCTATCTAAACGACATCATTATATTATTATATATTGTATATAATTAATATAACCAAATATATAATAATATATATTATGTAACCTAAAACAAATAATGTTATATCAATAGAATGTAATAGTTAATATATATAATTTCTTATAGGTTATTATATAATATATAATTACATAATATATAATGTAATAATTATATACAATGTACACATATATTATATATAATATGTAGACATATAATATTTATTGCATATATTATTATCTTAACCAAATATATAATTATAATTCCTGTTTTAACCCCCAATTTCTATTTCCCTCCAAATTCCCCAGTTTCCCCTCCGAATTCCTTCTTTTTCATCCCAGTTCCACCTGTTTCACCCCAAATTCCACCTCCTTCGCCTCAAACTCCTCCCGTTTCACACAAATTCCTTTTGTTTTCCCCCAAATTCCTATTTGTCTCCAAAGAAATCCCACCCATTTCACCCCAATTCCCTCCTCTTCCAGCCAGATTTCTCCTGTTTTCCCCCAAATTTCCACAAAGGAAAGTGTGTTTGTTTTAAGGAAAATCCGGGGGGTGAAAAGAAGAATTAGGGATTTTTCTTTTTAAGGACAACGCGGGGAAGGAGGATCCCGAATCCCGCGGGAAGGGGGTGTTGCTGCCGGGCCCGGGACGCTCCGGGGGTGCCCGAGGGGATCCCAAATCCATCGGGATCCCCTCGCGAGCCGCTTTACCACCGGAATCACGTCAGAGCCGGATCTTCCCGGAGCTGCTTCCTGGAGGTTGGATCCGCATCTCGCAATTCCCGGTTTCCCAAGGGGATCGTCCCCCCGGGATCCCTCGTGGTTCGCAGCCGCATCCCGGGGGGGGTTTCATCCTTCCTCGGTTAAGGAGCGGGACTCGTCCCGGGGCGATTCCAGGGAAAAACGGGGAAAAGCGGGAATTTTCCGGCCGGCGCAGGGAGCGGACTGGGAGCGTCCTGCTGGCAAACTGGGAGCGGACTGGGATTGGACTGGGCACGGTCTGGCCCGATGGGGCCGGGGGGCAGCGTCCCCTTCCCGTGGGTGTCCCAGACCACCCCCCAACCCCCCCCATCCCTCTTTCCCTGTTGCCCCCGCGCGTTCCCGAGGGGAGCCCAGCGGGAATGGGGCGAGCAGCGACCCCCGGATCCCCCGGCAGGGACACGGGGACGTCCCCAGTGTCACCTCCCCCAGTGGGACGGCTTTGGGTCTCCACCAAAAAACTCCACCTTCCCGGAGAATCCCGGCCGGGTCCGGCACCGCCTCGGACCTGCCTGCAGGTGCCACTGGTGCGATGTGGGCGCGGGAAAACCGGGATTTGATGGAATTCCTCGGGAAAACAGACTGGCAGTATAATTTTTATTTCTAAACCGGAGTGAAACTTGAAGAGAAAAGGAAACAGTTCCCTTTCCAACTGGAAATTCCAACCAACTGCTCCATCGCGTTCTCTGAGAGTTGCTGCTCTCGAACCCCTTCTGAGGGTTCATTTGGGGCTCCAGGAGCACCCAAAAATCCTGGGAATGCCGGGAAACAGCTCAGTCCCCTGTGCCAGCCCTGGCCCAAGGCCAGAGCTCGGCGGCAAACCTGGCTTTTAATGAGAATTCCTGAAACAGCCTGGAATATCCCCAGTTAGGGAAATCTCCCAAGGCTCAACGTCGCACCAACCCCGTGGGGAGACAGGGATGGGAATCCGGGAAATATCAACGGACCTTTCCCGGATCAGCTGTTTTGGGGCGGAAAAATGGGGGAAACGCCCCCTGGACTGGGGGGCTGGGCCGGGGTCTCCCCAAGCCCCGCCGGCTCCTCCCGATCCCGATCCCGCCGTTCTCCCGGGAATTCCGGCTCCACTCCTGCCGCGTCCCGGGGCTGTGCCGCGCTGGGGGACGGGGGTCCCGCGGCCCAGGGGGGGCCGGGGGGAGGTCTGTCCCGCCGCGCTGGGTGACAGAGGGGTCCCGGGGGGTCCGATCCGATCCCGGCGCCGGGATCACCTGGTGACGGAGGTGTCGGAGTCCACGTGTCCCAGCAGGAAGAGCTCGGGGCGGGCGGCGAAGCCCAGGCGGCCCTGGGGGGGGGAAGGGGACAGTTAGAGCCGAGGGCAGTTAATGAGCCCGGTTTAATGAAGCTCGAGCCGGGACAGGTTGAGGAAGCCCGAGGTCAGACGGGTTTAATGAAGCCCAAATCGAGCCAAATTTAACGACGCCTACACTGAGTCTGGACCAAGTCGAGACGGGTTTAACAAAGCCTGAATTAAGCCGGGTTTAACAAATTGAGCCCGATTTAATGAGTTGAGCTGCGCGGGGTTAAACGAAGCCGGAGCGGATCTCAGTTCAGTGGAGCCCGAGCTGAGCCCAGCTTAGCAAAGCCCGGGTGGGCACCGAGGTGGCGGTGCCGGTCACGGCTCCAGTTACCATCTGCACCGTTAATTAGTGCTCTGACCCAGCGCCGATGGGACCACTGCTAATTGGGAACGGATCACGGTGTTAATTGAGGGCGGGTCCCGGTGTTAATTGGGAACGGATCGCGGTGTTAATTGAGGGCGGGTCCTGGTGTTAATTGGAAGCGAATCTAGGTGTTAATTGGAAGCGAATCCCGGTGTTAATTGGGGCGGGTCCCGGCCCCACCCACAGCTCCGAGTCGATCCCTCCCCCCCCCGCAGCCTCAATTAACTGCTGCTCCAGCTCAATTAAATCGGAGCGTGGATGAGCCTTAATTAGCACCGACAGCATAGGCGGGTTAATCACGGGAGGACGCTCCGAATCCTCGGGATGAGCCGGGATGATCCCGGTGTTAAACGGCGCCGAGCCCGGG